CTCGCTAATAATAACAACAACAACAGTAAAGCAGTTTGCAAGACTAAGACACGTTTTTATTTACTCTCCTTTTGGACCATTCATTTTTCAATCTGTTGTCTTGTATTTCGTGCTTCGTATATCGGTTATTGTTGACAAATATATTTGTGTGTTTAATGCGGTCATATACGGTAGTCTAGTGCGCTTGTGCATATACTATGAGTTATACGGTACTTTACGCCTGTAAAGGGAAACACTGTGATCCATTAAACCAGCGCGGCTAACTAAGAAGCCTCTAATGCATTTATTTACAAATGCCATTTTTAATCTCATAGCAGTTGTTTCTTAGCTGTACTTAGATGGGTTGTAATGATGGTAATAATTTAATGAATAAGCTTCAAGTGAACATGGGGTGTGTTTGTGAGTGTGTCTGAGTGTAGTATAAAGAACAAGTTCTGACGTTAAAAACAAATCCTGTTTCTGATTTCTGAACCTTTTCTGATTTGTATTTTTCTTTTTATAAATAACCTGTACTTTCTGAAAAAAAATCAGATTAATCGATTATCAAAATAATAGTTGCAGCCCACGTAAAACACGAGCACGCACACACTCTGATACAAACATCCTGCACAACCAACAAAAACATCTGATATTCCAACAACAATTTGAACTCCTTTTGATAATTTGTTTCACAAAAATGAGAAAAACAATGGAATCTGTTTGTCCCACATTGTAGTCAATGTTTCCAATATTAGATGAAAGAATGGAGGATCAGGCCACAGGAACTGTTCCTATTTTCCTCCCCTCAATGCTCAGTTCCCCTGAATGTTTCCCAGTTGAGAGGTTTAGCGTTGAATGTTTTTCATAGGATCATATTCAGCCAAATGGTTTATTTGTGGCAAAATGTAAAAGGGTTTAGTTCTAGAGATAATTTACATTTTTCTTGTGGGCAGTGATGAAGTACCACACGATCCTCATTTGATGCAAAATAACTCAAAAAAACATCTGCGCTCTACCAGCATCTATGTGATTATACCTGAGACCAGGTTACATAAGTGTTCCCTGTGTAGTTCTCTGTCAAGCAGACACACGTGTTCTCCTATGGTCATATATATATAGATATATATGAAAGATTTGTCTTGTTTCTGTGTTTTTTTTATTTGTCTTCTACATATTCTACAAACAGCGACCGACTTATTTAGAACACCTCCGTGTTTGCAAAAGCCAAAATGTTTCCACACGCTGGATCGATAAGTTGGTTTGTAAATGTCTCGCTCGCAGTCGTCTCCTCCACGCTGTGTTTTGTTGTTGTTGTTTGTTGTTGAGTTTCGCGCGGCTGCTGCTGCGTACTGATGACGTCACAGACAGGCAGACTGAATCCAGTAACGTTTAACGTGTCTAAAGTGCTAAAAAACAAACAAACAAACACACATCCACACCGTTTTTGTACTTTAATCCAATGTGCAGTTTCCAAGTATCGATACAATCGATTATGTACCATTTCAATTTGTAATCGATATATGTCGTCTGGAAGGCCGATTTGCGGAGCACAGATCGATTCAGTTGGATCGCAGGAATATAAATCGATTAATCGATTCAGTGAATGAATCGTTACACCCCTAATAAATAAATAAATATATATAAAAAACCTCCACCGTAATGCAATGAGGGAGAATAAAATCCACTCAGGGCTGTGAGATAAAACATCTATCCGGTGATACAGGAGATACTGGACGTGACTTCTGCGTGTAGAGCCCAACACAAGGTCCTCAGTTGTCTTTTTTTATTCCTGGCCAGCAGTCCTGAAGCCACAGTGCCACATTTGCACAATAATGGCAAAAACACACAACCTTCCCGTTTCTCGAGACAGAATCCCACAGTTCTTCTTTTTAGTTTTGTTTCTTCTGTGAGCACCACAAATTAAATTCCAGTTGGAGAATTCAGAGACTGACATCTGAGAGTCTCCATCCGGAGCGCTGGAAAGAAAAGCGCTGCTGCAGGCGAACAAACGCACCGTGTAAGGGCCTCAGTTCTAAACATTAATACTGCGTCATCTTTACAAACCATCAGTACACAAATGAATGTTTAGAGCAAACCGGCTCAGCGGAGGTGAGGACGATGATGTTTTTCTAATGAGGCAGTCTTACTCCAGCCGGCTCGCGTGGAGCAGCTCCGGCTTCAACTGGTGAACTGTGACGGAGGTCACAGGGATGAGGCGCTCGCCTTACGTCTGGAGGGGTCTGTGCAGGCGCTTCGTGGGCAGAAGGGCTGTGACTTGCCTGCAGCGCTGCTCCAAAGTGGGAGCGGGTCGTATTATATGTCACTTGCTCGTCCTGACTGCAGCATTTATAGACTCCTCTCAATAGCCTCAAGCAAAGCTCAGCTCATCTTATCCGGTGATAAACACATTTTCCTATAAATATTTCACAATAAAATCCTTGTAGTTTTTGCCGCTCACTCTTTCCTCCCTGCAGTGTTCGTTGTTATTTCCCCCCCGCCTCCCCATTCCAGATGTCAGGGTTTCCCCCCACAAAATCATGGAATCCACAGGAAACAGATTGATCCCTTTTTCCCATAAAAACCTTTTAGATGTGGTTGAAACATTCGGGGGGGTTAATAATAACTAATATCCAGCTGACATGGATTAAAAACATCTAGATAGGCGTCTCTACGGGTCACAAGCACATTAAAGGACGCGTGGGCCGAATTCTGCAACTCTGACTTGACCAAGTCTGAAAAGTCTGCTGTGCACTCATCATGGCGTATTATTGTTTGGGTTCTTGTGCCGTCGTTTTATTAAAGCATTCCGTTGTTGGTTTGTGGACTTGCTGAAATTGAAAATCTCTGCTGGCGACGGCTCTTTTTAATAAAATCTATTTCCTCCGACTGCTGCTTGGATCCAGCCAGCTGCACTCATGACAATAACACAACAATTAGTTAATAACAGAAGCGCTGACCCAAAGACCACGGCCTCTCCTGGAGCTTCTGGCCCGTCGCCATGGTGATCCAGCCTCCGCAGGGAGAGGCCTGCTAGCGTCCAATCGCAGGCCGCTGTAGACTCCTTTCAGACCCGAAACATCATAGCGGAGCCACCTCGTACCACCATTCAGACAATCCTAGCGTGTGTTTGTGTGTGTGTGTGTGTGTGTGTGTGTGTGTGTGTGTGTGTGTGTGTGTGTGTGTGTGTGTGTGTGTCTGCGCACACAGACACACATCTGACTACTCTGAGTCAGGAGACAAGTGTCAGCTGGCTTTAATTTATCCGTCTCATTCAACTTTATCTTTTTCCCACTCAACATCTCTCACACACACACACACACACACACACTCTGTTGTGCTGTTCTCGGAAGTCTGTCTGGAATTCCCCTCCAGACTATTGCATGAAAACCCGCATGTGAGAGAGCTGTTCCACTCTACCTGCGATAGCATTCTCAGACGCGCGTGTGTGTGTTTCTCCTTAATATCATGATACACACGTTGTCACTTGCAGTTACTTCATAATTCATTGTCTGAAGGCACATTCTCACTGGTGTCAGACACTTTTCTGTCTAGTTGCTCAAGTCTGGTGTGCGTGTGTGTGTGTGTGTGTGTGCGTTTGCACACGTGTTGGTGTGGAACTGCTGTGTGTGGGAGAACTTTTCTTTTTAAATTCCAGTTTTACAGACTAAATCTATTGCCGCTCTGAAGTCCACATAAAAAAATAAACCAGCTGTCTGTTAGAAGGAGCACTCACGCAGTCATTGTCTTTCCTTATTCAACACACCATTGAAATGCACAGAAAGTCGTAAATTCTATGCTGCGATTAAAAAGTCTAACTGACGTGACCAGTTTTATTGACTTACTAAGCAGCTTAAACCTGGTGTCGAGGTCATTACTCGCTCCCTAAGCTCTATTTTGTAATCCAAAACCTGCTAAAGCAACATTGTACGAGATTGCGTTAAAGGCGTCACATTGGCACTTACTTCCTCCCACAGGAGCATCGTTCCTCTTGTTATAATATCATCTGACCTCCAAGCACTGATTGGAGGTCAGATGAGCGCTAAACAAACCCCTTTACAAACTGCAACCGCCTACTAAACCAGGAAGCCACTCTTATGATTTGAAAGCAAAGATTCCAAATTGGAAAGAATAAAAGGAGACAACTTTAATTTGGCTCCACTGTGGCAACATGTTGGACCTTGGGACGGCCGAATGTGTCCTTTCTTAGATCGTCATGCAGAAACACACACAAGCTGTTGTTTTTACCGTTAAAACATAAACAATTCTCCACCGATATCAGCGGAGGGAGGTGCATAGAAACGGCTTGCAGTGACCACACTTCCCCCTTGGAGCTTAATTTCTTGATAATCTTGATAAATGATCATTTTGGGGATAGGACGATTAAAAGTCCTGTCTGACCCGTCTGCAGTTCAGGCTGGCTATGCTTCTGCTGTTGTGTCGACGCACTCGTTTCAATTCATGGTTCAAAATGTCTTGCGTGTGTTGCAGAGCAATTCACCGCCAGAACAACAGGTGGAGTAACGTTTTTTGTAGAAGACGGCCGAGAGTCACCTCTCGACCGGCAAACTGACGTTTGTGGAGATCTCCCTCCATAAATCAGGCCGTCCGCCAATGACGGCTTGTAGAAGTGCTCATATTTACGTATTTCTTCCGACAAAAGCTCTTCAATCTGATTCATTCTCCCTACAAAAATCGTTGTTTTAATAAAGGCGGTATTGTGCTATGAAACAGGAAATGTGAGACTCCGTAAAGGACGTAGTTAGCAGACCAATCCCAGCCTTGTGGGCTGCAGGAGGCTTGCGTCGCCCCCCCTCCCCACACACACGCACACACACACATTGGGGAGGAGGCAGGGATTGCTCAGGTTAACAAATCGCTCCTTGGTCTCACATCTGAGTGACAAACACGATGCCGGTCTGAAAGCGGAAGGCAGCGATTTGTACTTTGTATGTTTTCTGGCCCAATAAATACCTCTTTAGTGGGATGATGTCATGGTTGTCCTCTCCCCTTCCTCCCCCCAGGCCTGCAGTGTTACTGCGACCGCTGCAGCGCCAACTCCAGCTGCACGACGGATGGCGTCTGCTTCATCTCCATCCGCAGGTCGGGCAGCCAGCCCTCCACGGAGCAGCGGCAGTGTGTGCACAACAACGAGCTGATCCCCAGGGACCGGCCCTTCATCTGCTCCCCGTCAGTCACGCAGGACACGGGCATCTACCCGCTCTGCTGCAACACGGACTACTGCAACAAGGAGCCCAACCTGGACATCCCGCCCGGTACGCACGCACGCACGCACACACAGGAGCGGGTAAGGGTCTTCCATGAGGGACACACGGCCCACAGCTTTTCATTCCAACTGATCATGTGTCCTGTTCTCATTTGTTATGTCCTATGTGTTAATGGGTGTGGGCCCTCCTTGTATTACGTAACCTAAAGAGCTGTAGATCCATTCATTCATTAATGGTTACTGAAGTGGTGCATTGATTTAATTACATTAAATCCACCTGGCCCCTCTGTTCTCTGGTGTATTTAATCTACATCCTCTTCAGTAAGGGGATGAAGAGCATGTAGAGCATGAGAGGCCAAATCTCCCACCAGCCTAGCCTAGACGGAGGTGCCCCCCCCCCCGCCCGTCGGCCTGCTGGCTCGTGGCCCCGGACTAACCTTTTACAAGCCGTCCCCGTGTTTACACTGTGTCGCCCTCCGAGCCGGCCCGGAGCCCGACACACGCACCGGTCACGCTTTGGCTCCATCTCACTTTGTAATCTGCTCTGTGTGTCCGGCAGTCCACCCCGAGAAGACCCCCCCTCTGGGGCCCGTGGCCCTCGCGGCGGTCATCGCCGGCCCTGTGTGCGTGCTGTGTCTGCTGCTGGTCCTGGCGTTCTATGTTTGCCACAGCCAGAGGGGCCTGGGGGCCGGCGGCGCGGGGGCCCACCACCACCACCACCGGGTGCCCAACGAAGAGGACCCCTCGATTGACCACCCCTTCATCACCGTGGGAACGACGCTGAAGGATCTCATCTATGACATGACCACCTCGGGCTCTGGATCAGGTACGCTCAGGCACAGAGGTCAACAAGGAGGCCGGTGGGTTTGGGGAGAACGTTCATTCATTTACAGAGAGTGAGAACAGAAGATATGATTAAGATACTACTCTACTACTAATGTTTGTAAAATGGTTAGGAAGTGGATTAGCTTAGCATAAAACTGTGGGCAGGGGAGAACAGCTAGCCTGGCTCTGGCCAAAGATAACAGGCTCCACCCCCTCCGTCACACACTGTTGGAGAAGAGCTGTGGGGCCTGCACTCTCGACTGGTTGCCCGGCAACCTCGCGGTTGACGTCAAGGCTCCAGCACGTGACCTTGTGCGGTCAGTGAGTTGTAGCGTGGGGCATATTTAGGATATTTGGATTGCGGTTGCAAAAACCAATGCGCTGTGATTCTTTCATACTGAAATGTAAAGGTCAACCTGCAGCGCCGATGGCACTCGGCTGCGCCTCCACCAAAGAAACTCCTTTCAAACAAAAGTAGAACGTCTGTGTCCCTGCACAGAGTGGTAGCAGCTCAGTCTGCACAAGGTCCCTGCAACCTGCACCAGACGACGATAGTGGATAGACGGATGTGTAAGTGTGTGTGTGTGTGTGTGTGTGTGTGTGTGTGTGTGTGTGTGTGTGTGTGTGTGTGTGTGTGTGTGTGTGTGTGTGTGTGTGTGTGTGTGTACTCTGAAGCTATACACATCATAAAGCACAAGTCTATTAAAAAGGCTGTCTGGCCCAGGTTCAGACTGCACACACACACCCTGGCTAAAGCTGTCATGCTAGCTATGACTGGCACCTCCAGCACAATGCCAAGCAATGACTCGGATTCAGTTTGTTTTAGGCTATTTGTACCATATTTGACAATATGCAAGTGTGTGTGTGTGTGTGTGTGTGTGTGTGTGTGTGTGTGTTGGCAGAGCTGCGTGGGCTGTTTTAATCACTGTGCTGAGTCAGAATCTGTGTAGTGTAATAGGAGGAGGATTCTGATTGCTCCGTCATTTCCTCACCATAACTGAATAAATGTATTTGCCATATGAGCAAACCGTATTAACCCTCTCACTGCAAATATTCTATTTTTTTTGGTGAAGTGCAGCGCTGATACAGATTCTCTCACCTGCACATGACTTATCAAAAAGGTATCTTTCTTTTTTTGCTATTCAAGACCAATGTGTGGGTCTCTGACGCCGGCAGTAAACAGCCTGTAAAAACGTGAAAGACTGCTTCATACAGCTGTCATCAAAAAAATGCTGTGACCAACGACTCATTTCATAGCTTTATGGTTTTCTACATCTGAAATATCTCCCACTTGATTGTGGAAACATTCCAGCCAGTGTTGTTCCATGCTGAAGCTGTAACTGTGGGTTCATTGACTGAAGCGCAGAGTGTGCTTCCTCCCACGCGTGCTGAGCGTCCTCTTCCCCGGGTGCTGCTTCTCTCTCCAGGCCTGCCGCTGCTGGTCCAGAGGACCATCGCCAGGACCATCATCCTCCAGGAGAGCATCGGGAAGGGCCGCTTCGGGGAAGTGTGGCGCGGCAAGTGGCGCGGCGAGGAGGTGGCCGTGAAGATCTTCTCCTCCCGCGAGGAGCGCTCCTGGTTCCGCGAGGCTGAGATCTACCAGACGGTGATGCTAAGGCACGAGAACATCCTGGGCTTCATCGCCGCCGACAACAAAGGTGAGGTGAAGAGAGGCCACAGCCAGCAAGGAGAAGCTGAACGAAAAGAGATCAGTGAGTCGTACAGGCTAATTAGAGAAGGTGGATGCACATTAAGCGTGGAAACACGATCTTCATCAGGCTGCTCTGCTCCTTCCAAGTGACCCGAGAGCTGTCTGCAAAGTTAAAGCAGACGTTCGCTGTCAAAGAGCTGCTGGTAGACAGTGTGGGGGAGTAACGTCCTCAGCCAAGGCCGAGCACACATTACCACGCAGTCTGACTGCTCTAGCAGCGCGCGCACACACACACACACACACACACACACAGCCCTGATTTAATGGTAGAGGAAACACTGGTGACGACACGGCTACATGAGAGCGCTAGATCTCCATGATGAGTGCACAGCAGACTTTTCAGACTTGGTCAAGTCAGAGTTGCAGAATTCGGCCCACGCGTCCTTTAATGTGCTTGTGACCCGTAGAGACGCCTGTCTAGATGTTTTTAATCCATGTCAGCTGGATATTAGTTATTATTAACCCCCCCGAATGTTTCAACCACATCTAAAAGGTTTTTATGGAAAAAAGGGATCAATCTGTTTCCTGTGGATTCCATGATTTTGTGGGGGGAAACCCTGACATCTGGAATGGGGAGGCGGGGGGGAAATAACAACGAACACTGCAGGGAGGAAAGAGTGAGCGGCAAAAACTACAAGGATTTTATTGTGAAATATTTATAGGAAAATGTGTTTATCACCGAATGAGATAAGCTGAGCTTTGCTTGAGGCTATTGAGAGGAGTCTAAATGCTGCAGTCAGGACGAGCAAGTGACAGACTTTTATTGTGATGGTTTTATAGGAAATGAAATGTGTTTATCCAGCATTTTACAGCTGCTCCTTCTCACCATAAAATACATCCCGTCACCACCCGACCAGGCAGGTCAGTGTGATCTGGACGCGATCGCAAACGTTGCAGCTTTATCTCCAGCTCCCTGTGTGTGTTTAGATAACGGGACGTGGACTCAGCTGTGGCTGGTGTCGGACTACCACGAGCACGGCTCCCTGTTTGACTACCTGAACCGCTACACCGTGACCGTGGAGGGTATGATCAAGCTGTCCCTGTCCACAGCCAGCGGCCTCGCCCACCTCCACATGGAGATAGTGGGAACACAAGGTGAGACACACACACGAATACGCAGGTCGATTTGTCCCACACATACTTGGTAAATCTGACCATGGAACGTACGGCTGTCCGTCTCCAGGGAAGCCGGCCATCGCACACAGAGACCTGAAGTCAAAGAACATTCTGGTGAAGAAGAACGGGACGTGCTGCATCGCGGACCTCGGCCTGGCCGTCCGCCACGACTCCGCCACGGACACCATCGACATCGCTCCCAACCACCGAGTGGGGACCAAAAGGTACCGCGCGCCCCACTGAGCCCTCTGTGGGACACCGTCTCCTCCTGTAGCCGCTGAACTCTCCCAAACCCAAAGCATGGAGCCAGAATCCGATGCAGCACACAAAGGTGTGGTGACTGAAGAGGAACAGTTGGCCAAGCAACGGCTCCGGAAACGGTGCAGAGATCATCCGAGCCAGAGTTTAGAGGCAGTAAATCAATGCAGACATCAGAGGGAGGCAGGGAGATGATACAGACATGCACAGAGAGGAGGTTTCAGTCTGTGGGACTTCCCAAGGTCAGGGGGGGGGGTTCCTATCAGTCGACGCACACAAGTTTGGCTGGAAAAGAGTTCTGTGGGAGCTTCCATTGTACAAGTGATTAATAAAATGCACACAGTTCAACACTAACTGAGGAGACGGAGCGCGACCAGTTAGCTGATAAGCCTTTTTGACAAAAGCAAAAAGTCAAACAGTTGAGTTCTGCAGCTGTGCATCGTGTCCCCCACATGACACGGGAACAGGTCCAGTAGTGGAGCCTCCACATGTGCGTGCTCACTGCCGCCACTCTCGATGATCTCATACGGCGGTCACAGCTGTATGTTTGTAGCAGTTAGCTGAATAAACTGCAGCCATCGAGGGTTTCGATCGTCTGTCTTTTTGCTTGTACGTCAACCAATGACGAGAGGGCCTTGTTGCCCTGAGGCTGAGTTTGGTGTAAATGCGCCGTGGGTAACCGATAAGCGAGCGTTAGCATCCAGGGTTAGCTGTGCTATGTAGAGCTGTAGATGACCGCATGCAGAGTGGGGGCGGCTGCACGTGTTGCATCGCTGCATGAAGGCTTCCCAAATAAAAGCACCTGGGTGAAGCTCACCTGGTCTGAGGGTCCCGTTGGAAAATCTGCAGGTGGAAGCTGGTATTTTATCTGTGATGGAGCAGCCACACAAATGGCTATTTGTCTATACGTGGCTTCCCTCTGGGACCCTCTTGTTCTGTTGTGCAGGCGAGTCTAGCTGCAGGGTCAGAAAGTGAGCAGCACTCTCCTCCTTCCCACAGTGATATCAGCATAGCTTTCATCCCGCTCTGCTTTTCTCTCTTGTTTACGACGGTTCCCTGCCTTCGGGCTGCTGGTTCCACGCTGCAGGCGTGCTCCGGTGCCACTAAATGATTCAGTAGAGACTAGAGCTCTGGCCTGGGCGGAAACACATGTTACAAATTGATGATTTGATGCCACCGGGGTTTCTTTTTCTCTCCTTTTCCCTTTACTGTCATCACGTCAAAGTTATTCTTTGGACACACTTTCTCATTCTATTCAATGAGTTGGTTTTGGTGACTTATACCTTTTTTAAACTTAAAGTCTTCTTCTGCAGAGTAGATGTCGAGAGGGAAGTAGTCTAGAAGCTAGCTTAGCTTAGCGCGTAAAGTGGTCCGTTTGACACTCACCCCCCTTCTGCTGCTAATCTCATAGGCCCTCCTAAAAATGTAACCTAAGGGGTCTTTGCTCTGCAGATTCCAATCAGGTTATGCAGCGAATGGACAGTTTGACGCAGGTCATTCAGTCAATGTATTTAGTTCTGTTTTCTTAAGCTTTAAATGTTGTTTCAGAAGTGGACTTTATGATCCTGCGTGAGCAAGAATAACTCTCCTCTCTCCGCTCAGGTACATGGCTCCGGAGGTCCTGGACGACTCCATAAACATGAAACACTTTGAGTCTTTCAAGAGGGCCGACATCTACGCCATGGGCCTGGTGTTCTGGGAGATCGCCAGCCGCTGCTCTATGGGAGGTGAGGATCTAGCGGGGAGGCTGAACAGGGGGCGGCTGGATGGACCGAGGGATGTTGACACACCAGTATGTGCACGAGTAGAAGGCACCATGCATCTCATCTCCTTTCGAACCATTTTTTTTTTCCAATCGTGTCAGGCATCCATGAGGACTACCAGCTGCCCTACTACGACCTGGTTCAGTCCGATCCGTCAGTGGAGGAGATGAGGAAGGTGGTGTGCGAGCAGAAGCTTCGCCCCAACATTCCCAACCGCTGGCAGAGCTGTGAGGTAAGACGCAGAGCTCAGGTGAAGGTACTCCACCATTGTATGTGCTCACCATAATGGTGTCAGCGGTGAGTCTATAGCCCACGTGTGTGTGTGTGTGTGTGTGTGTGTGGGGACAGCTGGATAGTGCTATCTAAACAAACCACATAACGATCAGCTCCGGTCAGACAGGATCACAGTCTGCATCAAGCCAGGCCAATTTGTAAACAGACTCACTCATGAGCAGCCAAGTCGGCTGTCCACACACACACACACACACACACACACACGGTGCTAAAGCCTGAGCAGACGCTCTCCTTCATGAGGTCTCTGAAGAACTCGCTTTCTGTGGGTTGTTTGACACCAGCCACCTTTTGTCTGGCAGCATCCACACGGCCGGGACGTTTGAATCTGCCTTTTCCTTCGAGGTAAAAATTTGTGTTCCGTTTACGCCACAGTGATCACGTTTACTCCCCTCTGAATCTCCTCTCTAACAAGACCTTGGTGAGCCAAAGCGATTTGTGACGTCTTTCTCTACCCAGCTAGCTGAAACCATCAGCAACGGTCAACTACTACAACACAACGGCTATTCCCCCTCATGTAAAGGCTCTCCTCCCTCCCACTAGAGACCATCTCTGTGTCAGTCAGTGTAGAGATAATAATAATAATAGAGACTAGTCCGCCTGATGAATGTGACTTAACCCCGGAGAAGGTTCCGTAGCCGAGAGGCGGACGCTGTGGGAGACGCTGTGGGAGACGCTGTGCGGCCAGATGCTGTTTACAGCCTCAGCAGCAGGGACGTGGAGGCGTGAGGAGGCACTCTGATGGTGTTTAGGGGAAGTCTCCCCTGGAGGGGAGCGAGGGGGAATAGTTTCCTCTGAAAAACAGTAGGATTCAACCTCGCTGGCCAGAACACAACATGATGAAGACGTGCGGAGGCGGTTGGCTGTCATTCTGTTAAAGTATGGTCACAATCAGATAGAGGTGTCAGGAAATGTCCCACTTTGGAATCCGTCTCTGATTAAGTGAACTCTTACTGGAATCCAAACGCTTTCTCTTTGTCCTCTAATAACTCATGAAACGTTATGGACCCCAAAACCCTCCAAGGGCTCAATACAGTGAAGACTGGCCATCACTTTGATTACATTTTTTTCGGGCAACTTCATTGATAAGAATGTAGGATAGGAATATGTAAGCATTACGCGTCTGCCTTTCACTACTATTGTATGCTAGGTTGTAGGGGACAGTGGGGTGATTTGTGCCGGGGGGAGTAGAGCTGCCCCCCGTTTTACTCAGAAGAGAGATACATGCATGAGAGTTGAGCACATTTTTCTATGACTAAGGTTTTTGGATTGTAGTGTCTGAACCACCATAGACGAGTTTGTTTTGGTGCTTTAGCACGCTACACAATGAGTCTGTAGCGTTAGCATGATGTTAGCTCTTAACTGCTAAATCATGCTAGTTTTTCTTGTGGGTCTGGGGGGATTTGTGCCAAAGGGCCAACAACACTTATGATTATTTTCAACATATTATCAGTTTGTAATTGTATTCTTACATTTTAGCACTCAAAGTGAAAGAGGGAAAGACCGTACGTCAGGTGGAAAGGAAGATGAAGATCTGCAGGATGAGCTTGAAAAAATTCATGGAGAAGAAAAAGTAACAAAGACTTGCCAACCAAGTCCTCAAAGAATACATAGAGACGGAGCTAGCAGATGATACAAAGGCACAAGCAGGATGTTTCATGGCATAAGTGCCACGGTGAAGTCTGCATTTATTAAAGGAGAGTTACAGGGAACATTGCTGATTACTTTCCCAGGACTGTTTTTATTGTCGTTTGTATCAGATGACATGCATCATTCTGAACAATACAGCACAATTTACCCCAGCGTTTTCCTCCCAAAGGCACAACTTACCCCGCAACAGGGGCAGGTTGTGCCACGAGACCACATTTTTCCCAAAAGCTTCAGAAAGTTATTGTTCTCAGGGATGCGCCACATCCTGAAATATATGTACATCCTTAAGTTGAAGGCATTACTGTCATGGCCTCACTTTAAAGTCACTGAGTAAAAACACCTCACTTTCTCTGATACAGGCTTTATTTATTGGCATCAACGGGGTCTTACTGAAGCCCCTCCTAGTAACGGCCGGATGTTGTGCTTTAAAGGAAACTTGTAGATGACATCTAATGGGATGGAGAGCAGCGCTTTGGGAACCCGTAGGTTCCCTTTGGTCTTAACCTCACAGATCCGCCCAGGTTCAGCCCGGCACGCGTATGTGAAATGCCACTTGGAACGAGTGGCTCGCTTACTGCACACTTACAGCAGCAGCTGGGTGTAGGTGGAGAAGACGTCGGCCCCTCACCACATCCTGTTTTCTAAACCGTCGTCCCCTCTCTCCCCTGCAGGCCTTGCGGGTGATGGCGAAGATAATGAGGGAGTGTTGGTACGCCAACAGCGCCGCCCGACTCACCGCTCTCCGAATCAAGAAGACCCTGTCTCAGCTCAGCCAACAGGAAGGAATCAAGATGTAGACACAACTACCAAACACTCACACACACACACACACACACTACTGTGGCTGGCCATATCGTTAGCATTATGATCTTCATTAGCATCATGGACTGCCCCCCCCCCCCCCCCCCCCACCCCCCATTGAGGAGAAGTGAAGACCTCTCATCCCCTTGTGCCCTTTGTGTCCTTCATTGACAAACTGCTGGGACATGCATCTGGAAGTCATGAGCCGTGTGTGAGTGTGTGTGTTGCACTTGGCAGTCTAATGACAGACGCTTGTGCCTAACCTCCCTTCTCACTCAAAGTTCCTGAGAAGACCCATCGGGACGACTGGTGTCCACCTGAAGCCCCGCCTCCACCGCGCATGCAAAACAAACGAGCTGCGACCCTGTCTGGTGAAGAGGCTGCCCCCCCCCCACACACACACACCCCTCCCCCCGGGGCTGAGAGTAGAGACACTCTTCAGTAAGGCTGCAAGTTGGTCACTTTCATCTTTAAATAATATTAGGAGTCACGGGAATAAGTCCTCCCATTAGGCCCAATCCAAATGGAACCGGTTGTGTTCGGTGAATCGCCGCAGTCCCTCACGGGGGGACAAATACTTTCCATGTGCACTGTGGCACATTCTGCTGGGGAGGGAGCGGGCTGCAGCCCTGCTCTCGAGTCGTGTTCCAGTAGCATCGGGAGCTGAAGCTTGGACTCCGGGACACGCCGGTGAGCACACCAGCGGGGGTCCCGGGACGTCTGAAGTTGTGAGCAGAAGCTCTCGTCTCTGCAGCAACTTGGCACCTTTCTTTCCTGTTGGTTGCTGTTCTCTGTCCCCATTTAACTCCTTGTTTTGTGTTCATTTTCTTTCTTTCCGGTGTCATTCTGAACAAGGGGACCTCATCCTTTTATCGTTTGGCGAACATGCTGCGACATATGCAATATACAGTAGATAAATGTGTCTATTTTCTATACTCTGCTAAACCACAAACCGCAAGAACAGCAACAGCAATCAGCTGCCACCACGCCTTCCAAAGCCAGCTGAAACCGGAAAGTGCCAGCGCTTTAACAACCCAGACTCCTCTCATGTCGGCTCCTGTGGCGTGCGCGCGTGTGTGTGTGTGTGTCCAGATAGAGAGCGTGCAGCGGCTCGTACTCTGCACACCCTGAGATTTAAGGACGGAAGGCAAGGAGGGCGCACACACACACACACACACGCAGTGCCGTCGCAGCACCCACAAGCCAGTTGACTCTCTGGTGCCATTCTGTCAAACCCTCCGACACACACACACACACACCTGAACATCCAACAACCTCAGCAACAACTCCTGGTCCGGCTCCTCCTCCCAGCGGGACGGACCCGGGGACCTGAGGTCCAGCACCTGCAACTGTGTTCAGTTGGAAAGGACGATGTCACCCAGAAGCCCCTCCACGGCTTTTGGGGTTAAAAAAACAAGTGAAAAAAGGACACAAAGACTTATGAGCATTAATGATGTTGCCCTATAAATGTAAACTCTTTATTTTGTTCTTCTCACACGTGAGACCTTGTCGGATACAGGTACATTCATTTCAAAATATAGCAAATGGAGATTTACAAAGCCATAGATTTCCCAGGTCATGTATTTACTTTTTTTATTGTGGCAAACTATTTCTATTAGAATGTACATTTACGCAAAACAAAAGAAAACCCCCTGGAAAAAAAAAAAAAAAAAGGAAGCATTCTTCCATTTCAGCTTAGTGAGCCTTAAGGGACCAACACACGAGTCAGGATGTGCTCTTACTATGTTTTTCTTTATTTTCTTATGAACAAATTATACACATATATTTAATTGATTACTATAAAAAGTTCATTATTCTATCTAAAGGACAAATGTATGTAGCGCCTGATTTAGCGGTTTGTTTCACTCAAGTGTTCGTCCCGTCGCCTGGGTTTCCACGCGCCCGAACCCACTCGGGGCCTCACGTGCTAACGCGTTAGCGCCCTCTTCAGGCCTATTGGTTTCCGCTGTTTTGACTTTGGCTGATCCACCATAAAAAGCGAGGGAGGAGGTCCGCTCGCGATCACCTGATGAGCTGCAGAGTTCGTACGTATCACAACGTGAGGGCCTGAGTGGGACGAGGGTCTCTTGGGCCCGAGTCCCCCTGTCCACAAGCAGTCATGTGAGTGCAGAACGTGTGAGGCTTTTAATAACAAAGACCGTGATTGTTGAGTAATAAGTGCACTTCTAAACGACTGCTGAGGGGGGGGGGGGGGGGTACCCGTATTATCTTCATTATGGATTCATGATGTTTTGATGTGCTGCTACTTGGTTGTCCGCCTCGCTTTACTCGCCGAGGCGAGAGCTGCCGTTGGATGTAAACATCCTCTGATTGATTGTTTGTTCTGTGCCATGTTGCTCCGCCCCCGTTGGACACAGGCACCGCCCCCCTCGTTCTCCCAGATCCACCGCTGCCAGTCAGCTGCTCGGGTGTTCCCCCAAACCACTGTGCCATCGTTTGTTCTCCTTCCATCTGGCTTGCAGACGTACGTATAATTTCAAATGTAGCGGAGGGAGTCGGAGTCCATCTTCATAACTGTAAATGTAAAAACAAATGCATGTCGTCGTACAAAACCTTTCTAGCATTTACGTCCCTGTAACGTCCGATGAGTTCAGGATCAGGAATCAGGAAACATTTATTACCAAAATATGCCAAACATACAAGGAATTTGTCTTGGCGGTTGGTGCGCGACAATAGACAAGACAGCAGTGCACAAGTAATAAAATAAAGTAAAATGAAATGCTAATGCTATGGGTTAGTAGAATAAGGCTATGGGTTAGTAGAATAAGGCTATGGGTTAGTAGAATAAGGCTATGGGTTAGTAGAGTTGCTTCAGGATTCCCGGCATGCAGTCCATCAAAAATGCTCAAACCAATTATTTTTATTAGTTGTGTTAAATGGACCGACGCTTCAAACGGCACAGAACTAAAACAAAACCCTCCCACATCAAATTGAACTTCCTGAACTTTATTTTGACAAAGACAAACTGGTCACTCGTGGTCGTCTTCAGGACGTGATGCGTTGTTGATACTCAGCGCTTTGTTACTCAACTATGCTGAATTCCATGTTAAATGTGTAAAAAGCATCAAACCCCTCAACAAGCATTGATTTGTTAAAGCTGTGCGGGGGGCTCTGGTATGTGGTTCCATTAGCAATTTCTTTCTCTGGGACATCAGCAACAACATTAGCACCTCTGGTTTGTCTCTACTAGGACAACTGTATTTAGTCTTAAAGTCACCAGCAGCCTTGAAACCCAAACGGCAGAAACAAGAGACGCGGTTTCCTCTCTCGTGTCTGTTTCCCCTTTTGTGTCTCTCGTCATTCCACGTCCTCTAATTGACTTTAACAGATGTCTCCTCGCCACACGCCCCCACCCCCCCTCCTCCTCTCGCTGCTCCGTACCGGGGTAACTGACCTCACTGCGCTTTGTTCCTCTGAACTGAACCGGTGCGTCCCACCCACCCATCTCACAGCGGGGGGCTCGGGTACATTCATGGAGCGGAGAGAGCAGAAGGTTTAACATTCCACGGGGGGGGACTCCTCCTCGCCACAACCTGCCACCCGCGTTACCCATAATGCAATTTGGCCAAAGGCAGTTTGCTCTGAGGCCCAATCCCCGACGCTGGGCGCTGATTGGCCTGGGTATTTAGATTACTCTGGGGGGGCGTGGCCGCTGCGGCTCATTCCCTGCTCAGGGCGCGATGGAGGCTGAACTCCATCTACGCCAGCAGCTCCACCCAGCTGTGCACGTACAGCCAATCCAAGCACAGGTCGAAGGTCAAACTCCTGGAGCGTTTAAGCAGCCCGGATTCCTCAGCGCCCCCCTGGTTGTGCAGCGTGGGGTGAAAGCGCCTCCCGGCTCCGTGGCTCCAAAGCATCGTGTTTATTTGCTTCTCCGCCGCTCACTTGGAATGAGGAGGCGCATTAACGGCGCCGTAGACGTATCGTCGAATAAAGCATCATTTACATTTTGAAAAGGTCACTTAATCCAAGAGGAAATACCTCCTTTCAAAGACCAATGTGTTGTACCTCACTGTGTGTATATATATTCTTGCTTTGTGTACGCCGACTTTGCTATTTCTCTCTCTTTGTTTCTATGAAATGCTTAAAAAAAGATGCGTAAGAGAATCTGGGTTGTTTTCATTGGTCAGTTGTTTGCTTCCCCGAGCAGTGTGCTGTTGTCCTGTTGTGTGCAGGCAAAGCGCTTTACAAATGTCCCTTTGTCGCCGCTACAAACGCCTTGTTCAACGTGTTCTTAGTTTAATGACAAAAAGAAGAGTCCGGAGGAGGAAGAAAAGAAGCCTCAAGCCGCTGGGCCATCTTCACTCGAGCCTCTTGGATTTCTGAACATATTCTGATCTTTTTTTCTAGTGTGTACAGATGATTATGAATGAGATCCACATAGGAACTAGAGGATTGACACGTATGTTACTTTTAACATAGCTGGAGTAGAAAACGGTGTGAATAAAGAAACAAAGTTTCCCTACAGAAGTGTTCTCATCGTTTCTTTGTGACTGCAAAATGATGAATATTAGTCTTTCACTGAGTAATAATTTAAAGCGCATGTTTTAGTTCGACGCAGAGCGGATTTAGAAATAGTTCTGCTTTCATGCGCTAGACAACAATGAGGGTCAAATACATGCAGTGTTGGTAGAAATGTTACTTCTCAATTACACATTTGTCGTGTTGATCATTTTTACCAGCGTACGACCGCCGCCATGGCGCTGGTAGCCAGGGAGCACTGGGTCACGTGACCGTACTTCAGAGGGCAGAAGGTATCTCCATTATGACGAGTCAGCGCGGACCCCAGAGACCAGAGGACGGGATTAATGTCCACGTGGTTCTAGGACTCCGAGGCAACGTCCCACAGCATCATCAGCAGGAGGACCAGAGGCCGCAGCTCGGTGGCTCCGCCTCTGAACTGGCAGGACAACCCGATTGGTCACACAGGGCAAACACGTCCTTTGTAATAAAATGTTATTCCCCGCCAAAATAAGAGCAGCAGTGGCTCTACAGGGCGATACCGATGTGTAACTTCATATTAGCTGTGCATTGATGACCATGAAGCTTCACGGTTGGAACTTCAGCCGTCTGAGGGGGGCTGCAAGGCTGATAAAGAGCAGCTCTGATTGACAGAGAGACGCACGCACACACACCTCCATCTTTGCCGTCGAATTGAAACAACTTCTGCTCTATTTTCAGCTCTCTACTTTCTCCACCTTCTTCCCAAACTGAGCTGATGGTTTAATTTGCTTTTATTCTCGATTTGCATCATGTCTGTTGGACTTTTGTTTGTTCCATCATGTTGCGCACACACAATGACTGGGCGCAGTGCCAGCCTACATGGGGGGGGTCTCCCAAGAGAGTCAAACTATTCTATGAGCGTGATGTGTGTAAACAAATAATGTGCAGAAACACGTTCTCCACGTTACCAGTTCCTCCTGACGCACACTGACCCGCTGATTCGCCCACCGCCCTCTGTGTGTGGGGGGGCTCGTGCTGCAGTCACCCAGCAGAGGCCTGACGTCACGCAGCGGTGGAACCCAACGAGGTCGCCCTCCTTCCTGCGCTCACTGGGTTCAGGCCTCGTCCAGTCGCAGGACGTCGCCAGCAGGGGGAGCTGCTGTCCTTCCCCCACTGCGGAGGGCTGCCCTGCTCTCGTACCTTTGCTTTGAATTGCATTATCCATCCATCCATCATCAAACCGCTTATCCTGCACACAGGGTCGTGGGGGGCTGGAGTCCATCCCAGCCAACTTCGGGCAGGAGACAGGGTTCACCTTGGATTGGTCGCCAGCCAATTGCACACACAACCAGTCACACTCACACCTACGGGCAATTTAGAGTCCCCAATCAACCTGATCCCCAGAGCATGTCTTTGGACTGTGGGAGGAAGCCGGAGAACCCGGAGAGAACGCACGCAGACACGGGGAGAACATGCAGACTCCACACAGAAAGGCCACTGAGCGGAGTCGAACCCAGGACCTCCTTGCGGTGAGGCGACAGTGCTAACCACCACGCCACCCAATGAATGGCACTATAATATATAAAAACGTTATTTTGAAATGATCACTTCACTTTACTTTTCCCCTTAATAGTTTTATTACATTTTGTATATATTTGAAGTAAATTTACTATTTACAAATATTAGACAGGAGACACAATTTTCACAATTCTGAAAAAGCGAAAAGCAGCACAGGGATACATTCAGTAGCTCGCGTACAGGTTTTTACAATAACATATGTGTCCTTCCAACTATTTTTTACACACACACACAAAGATGGAATCACAGGAGATGAGGCACCACGAGCAGATCACAGTGAGCATGCAGAGGCAACGTACACGTCTCACACCTCCTGGCTGCTATGAGGGGCTCTGTGGTCTTCTCTGTCCTTGTCCCCCCCCAGAGGAGTGTCACAGGCTGGAAGTGTCCAATCCTCAGGAAGCTCAACATTATCCCCTTGAGTGCAGCTTCTGCTTTTATTTTCACTGGACCAGTCGACGTTCATGTCCGACAGACGTCTCCCATCCTTCTTTTGGGTTTCATTTCATAAAGCAGAACATTTATTTACCAGACGAAGTGACTGACTTCAATCTCCTCAGTTGTTGTTTCAAGGCTGAAAGCTGCACCACCAGCGTAACCTTTCCACGACCTCCAATCAGCTGCCGGGTCAAAGTTCAAAGGCGGGGAAGCAGGAGGCTTCGGGGTGTGAAAGCTCTGACAGGTAGTAGATGGCTCCTGCCATCCCTGAAAGGAGAAACGCGTCCATTACCGTCCCTCTGTCAACTGGAGCTCTCTCATGGAGGCAATTATATTTAATATATATATATATAATCCATTATTTATTTATATATATATATATATATATATATATATATATATATATATATATATATATATATATAAATAAATAATGGATTATATATAATATATATAATATAATATAAAGAATATATATAAATAATATAATATACATATAATTATAATATAATATAATAATATATATAATATATATATATATATAAATAAATTATATATAATTATAATATAATATATATAATATAATGAATATATATAAATAATATAATATATATATAAATAAATAATATATATATATATATATATATAATCCATTTATATATATATATATATATATAAATAATGGATTATATATATATATATATATATTATTTATTTATATATATATATTATTTTTATATATTCTTTATATTATATTATATATATTATTATATTATATTATATATATATTATTTATTTATATATATATATTATATATATATATATATAAATAATGGATTATATATATATATATTATCCATTATTTATATATATATATATATATATATATATATATATATATAATTGATATATATATAAATATCCATTATTATTTTTATACATTATTATATTATCAATTATATATATATATATAATTATCCATTATTATTCAGTCAAACATGCAGGGTTCTGTTCTATGATGTGTTCAAGCTCTGCTTGTGAAAATGAGTACTAAGGGAAGGTAAATTATTGTAGCACAATACCTCTAAGCAGGCTACATTACCTCCGGCTACTTAAGACAAGATTTGTTTGAATCCATAAAAATACTATTTTTCAACTTGCTTGATGATTTGGGCTTTACTCCTGATTGCCTAGGTAGACTAGTAGTATTCTGTACCTGCATAAGTGGACCATCAGAGGTTTGAATATATATATATATATATATATATATAAGTAATTGGTGGAACAACGGCAAGCAGCACGCACTGTGTGTGGTCGGCTACTGACATCCTCTCTTCAAGGGGAAGAAGAATGTCCCGTTTGAATGGGAGAGATGGAGAAGGTGGGTGCTGATGAGCAGTCGGTACCTTCAAACAGAGAGTAGGGTCTGTCCGGGATGCGGCAGCCGTGCGTCCCGTAGGCCAAGCACCACTCGGCGAACTGCAGGGAGGTTTATACACGTTACAGTTATTACTCAATGTCATCCACCAACAACGCGCTCCGTCAACCGAGCAGCTTCCCTGTTGGGATGTTGGGACGCTGCTCGTAGCAATCGACGGTCCATGAGGCCCGGTGGTTGGTAATGCCTGATAATGCAGTGCTGTTACACAATATAATAACATTGGAGCTTTCATTTGTGTGAAGGCTGCTGGGTCCCTACAGACAGCGAGGAAATATAACGTTGTAGAACCACTGTTGGGCCATTACCATGACAACCAGACCGCCACTGACTCAGTGACGTCCCTGCAGGACGTCCTGCCGGAGCGGGCGGCTGTCCAGGTGCAGGGCACCTACCTTGCAGGCGCGGTACAGGTACTTCTTGTCCTGGGTGAGCTTGTACAGCGACAGGAAGGCGTAGCCATTGCCGGCGGTGCCGTGGCAGATGCCGTAGCCTTTTCTCAGCAGGCCCCGCTGCCAGATGACCTCCGCGCAGTCTGCCGCCTCCTTCAGGTACTTCTCCTCTTTGAACACCTGGAGGCACATGGAGCCAAACCATTGGTCACACTCTGGGAGGAGGAGTGGATCATAACACACACTGCCTGCAGAAATAACAAAAGTTCAATCCCCACGGTGTCTGTCACAATATCACCCTCTGCAGCGCACAAGGCCGAGAACTTACTGCACCGGTTCCACTGCTGCATTCACACTAAATACAGCTCGACCATTAACAAGATTAAATGCGTGTTTGATTAAAAAAAGACAAATGCAGAAGCAGGCCATAAATATTAATTATGCCATATATATATATATATATATATATATATATATATATATATATATGCTGGTTACATCTTATTATTAGTACAACTTGTTCTCATCAATGTATTTACTAGGTCTGTCAACATAAACACGTTAATCTATGCGATTAATGTGGCCGAGAATAATGCAACAAGATATTTTAACGTAGTTAACGTTTAGTTGACCCCGGAAACGAAACCCCTGTTACAGCAAGATGGAGAGAGCTTTTTGCACAAGTAAAACAAACAGCCGCGACATACAGTGTCAAACAGAAGGAGTGTGAGTAGCAAACGGACCACTTAGAGTACCGCTATGCTAAGCTAACTGCTATGCTAAGATAGCTGCTAGGCTACTTCCATCAACAATTAAACAACAGTGTCTAAAATACACAGGTTCTAAAGTGATTACTCATTACTTGAAAGATTTAGTCTTTAGGAGAAAAATAAAAACAACAGCATTAATTAATCGCCATTAATAGAGATCAATGAATTTCAACATGTGCGCTTAATAAGTTGTTTTAATGTATTGACAGCCCTAATATTCACTCATGTGAAGGTGATAGCAAAGAGGCGAACGGACCCTTCGGCAATAGAAGGTGCGGCGTGATTCCTGGAGGCAGCCACACTCACCCTGTACGCCATGATGAGCATGTGCACGATGCCGGGCGCTCCGTGGCACCAGTGGACCAGGCGGTCGCTCTCGTTGCTCAGCGAGGACGGGAAGTTCCCCGAGCGAAACCTCTTGTGCCGGACGTAGTCGATGCTGGGACGGACCAGCTCCGACAGGACGGCCGCGGGGACCTGCGCTCCCGGCTGGAAGGACAGATGCTAATCAGAGTCCATGCCACCCGTTCACATCCATTCACACAGGGATGACAGGAGCTAGCCCAGGCGCTAGTCCCTGGAGCTAACGTAAACCCCTTGCCTGCATGAGCGTGCAGAAGATGCCGGCCAGGCCGTGGGCGGCGCCGATGTACTGCTTCTTGTGCCATTCGTACAGCAGGGGGCAGCGGTCCGTCTTCTTCTGCTCCACTGAAAGGTTCTTCCCCGATTCCACAATGGCCGTCGCCACCTGGGGAGAGACGGGGAGGGAAAGGTCTCTCAGTGCAGACAACTTTCATCTACGGGGTCCCAGTTAAAGCGGTCGCCGCTGCCCAGAATGCAGTTTACAGTCCACAAAGACTGGGATTTAAAAACAGGAGGAGCTTTGGCATCAACTCCAAATCCTTCAACGGGACAGTGACAGATGTTTAGGAAAACTGGTCGGTTGAAGGACGAGCTGCCAGCTAACTTTGCCAAAACAAACTAGATGCTAAATGCAGAAGAATGAAATATGTTGACTCACAGTGCTTCAGAGAGAGAAGTTAAAAAGACATCTCCAAAGCGCTGCTGTATGTGTGTGTGTGTGTGTGTTGACGCTGCAGGGAAACTGGAGCTCTAAAGCTTCACATTCATGTCCCTTCATCATCATAAGTCATGTGAGCTGCTGCCTACTCATCCCGTCTGTCACACTGCGCGTGTGTGTGTGCGTGCACGCCGTATGTGTGTGTGTGTGTGTGTGTGAGTGTGCGCGTCAGGCAAAAGGGGACAGATGGCCCTGCTATTTTCAGCAGCAAAAATGTGTGTGTGCTTAAATAAATAATATAAAGAGTGTTGAGAGATTATTATCCAGTGTGTGTGTGTGTGTGTGTGTCCACTATACTCTGGTCCTCGTCCACCACGAGCAGAAACTCAAACATTGTCTTGGCGTGTCCCAACATTACAGCCCAGCCAATAGACAGTGATCATCTCCCTCGATCTGACTAATCAGACTGTAAATGAACTGACAAGCATGAAAAGAACACTTACGTCTCAAAGGAGACACGTCTGCTTGTGAAGTCTCTGCAGAGGATGTAAACTAGAGGTATCGCACATATTTTGGCCAAAAAAATTCCCAAAAAATTCCAGTAGAGAAACTAGGGAATGCTTTTGTTGACTAGAACAAAACATCCAAGGTGGAAACAAGTCAAATGTGGGAACAAATCGGACCGTCTCTGAACTGGAGCCTGTAGAACGGAGAGGAAACCCTGTGGTTCAGTAGTTCTGACTGCTCAAGTGCCTTTATTTTCTAAATAAAACATGTAATAAGAGTGTGTGTATATAGAGTTAGAGAGAGAGATGCAAGCCTCAAACAATGAGCCTCCATCTGCTGAGTTTACAGAATATTCTCATCAATGAAATACATGATTAGGCTGTTTTAATAACATCCAGCAGCCCTCCGTACTGACACAACGCATTGAGACTTTGTTTCATAACCACGTCCGACCCCTACTGCTGAGGATGCTTCAATGGACAACGTAAGATAGGACTCTGTGATCGGCCACAGACACGCTTAGCAGATCCCCGTAGTGCTGAGCAGACACAACGCACCGTAACAGAGATCCGGGGAAACACGCTTGTGCTTTACGATAATGACGGTTGAATAGTTGCAGTTGACGGAAGGGCGTGTTTAACTCAGAAGCCGACCTTGGTGATGACGTCCTGCTCCACCGCGTCCGCCCCCATCTGTTGGTTGACGTAGAGCAGAGCGTAGAGGTAGCCGGCGCGGCCGTACAGCAGCTCATCGGGCATGTCGGAGTCCGGACTCAGCACGGCCCGCTGCAGCTGGAGCACCCTGACGTGCGCGCGCACACACACACACACACACACACACACACACACACACACACACACACACACACACACACACACACACACACACACACACACACACACACACACACACACACACACACACACACACACACACAAAGAGATAATGACGCAGAGACACACGTTTCCAATGATCTGCAGCGCAGTGTTTTATGCACTCGGCCACAGGGGATTTATGGATTAAGTTTGGAGATATTCAATGTTGCACCTATTGTCATGATGATTGGCTTATTTTCATTGCGTTGTAATTAATTTGAAGTTTGAAAATAATACACGTAATAATACACAATACAAGTACCAGGAGTCACCAGGGGTTGTAAAGATGAACCGGTCTTTACCTAAAACCAGGCAGGGAAAGGGCTCGGCTAACCAACATCCTTGGATTAAACCAAATCTGCCTGGGTCAAAAACAGATGAGGAAAACACTACTGCATTCAGCACGTTCTGAAGCCCCATTGATCCTCTCAGCGGGCTGACCGGTAACGTCTTGGACAAAGACTGTCGCCATGTTTTCTAAAAGAAACGTCCTGCTGTATCGAAGATGACTTTACCTTAAACTCAATAAATCATGAGAGAAGTAGAGTCATTCAATCAGGAGTCGCCCCCTGGTGGTCAGCAGAGACAATGCAAGCTTTAAGACACTTCTAAATGGGCAGAACGGTAAGTAGCTTCCTGGGTGCTCCTCAGACGTTACTAAGAAGGGGGCGTGGCCCACAGAGGAGGTCCCCGTGCTGAACGACCACCCACCTGGACAGGCAGTCCTGGCTGTCGGCGGCATTGTTCAGTTTGTGGTGAACCACGGCGCCCACCGCCAGCGGCCCCGCGTCGCCGCAGAGGAACGTCACCTTGCGTCCGTTAAGGATCCTCATGGTCCGCTTCACGTAGTCCAGGGCCCTCTGCAGGTCGGCGGCCTCATGGGTCAGCCGGTGCAGCTGGAGGTACAGCAGGGCAATGCCTGTGGTGCGGACGGCGTGCCAGAGATCAGAAATCTGCCGCGTGGAACAGGTGCAGGCGGCATAGTGCTCACAACAGACCTGTCCAGCCGGTGTAGGTGGAGAAGTCATGTGGGTCGGCGGTCTTCAGCCCCTCCTCCATCTGCTGGAGGAGATCTTTTGATTTATCATCACCTTCTTCTGCGTAATGATGCACTCACCTGGGAGGGAGTACGCACAACGTCAAACGCCAGCGACTAGAACTCATCAACGGCGACAAGGACCCTCCACCGTTCCAACAATCGCCATGTGCACTCCTAGAAGCTACAGCCCCATATCAGGTCAACAAGCCTTTGCCGCTCTGTGAGGCCGTGTGTTTCATGATTAAATCGGAGTAGATTTGATTTGTGTATTAACAAGAACTAAGAAAAGGGATCATATCACTCCTGTATTAACTTCTCTGCACTGGCTCCCTGTTAAATCAAGAATAGATTTTAAGGTACTTCTCCTCACCTACAAGGAACTTGCTGGTGAGGCACCGTTGTATCTTAAAGAGCTTGTAACACCTTATTGCCCTACAAGGCAGCTGCGCTCCACAGATGCTGGGTGACTTGTTGTTCCTATGGTTTTAAAAAGTAGGCTGGGGGCCAGAGCCTTCAGTTATCAAGCTCCTCTTTTGTGGAACCAGCTTCCACTTTTACTCCGGGGGGACGATTCGGTCAGCTCTTTGAAAGCTTTCCTCTTTGATATTGCTTATAGTAAGGGCTGGCTCAGGTTAGCCTGGACCAGCCCTTAGATAGTCCTCTCTCTCTTTCTATAAGAATTCAAATCTCTATTAAAGCACATCACTAATTCAGCTCCAGAGTTGTTGCTTCCTCCCCTCACAGGTTTCCATGGATCAGGGATCTATCTGTTGCTGCCCACAGAAGATGTCGCATGTGTACAGACTAAAGGCAAATTTGTAACAAACAGTCCACAATGTTGGTTCTAATCTTAGCAGTACCTCTCCATTACTTAGCCTGCTAGCTGGGTAAGTCACCACGTTTTAATGTATTTGTGAGTTCATTGATTTTTTGTCTTCAGTGAACAAATATTCATGAACATGGCAGTGTATCTCCTGGGTTTACACCTTTATCATTTGGGTTAGAGCTTATTTCTATCTGTATAAAACAAGTGAAACACAGCCCACGGTTCTTTTGACTATTTGCCGTATTATGGCTAGAATATTGAATTGCATCAGCAACAAATCCAACTAGGACCTTGTGAATCAGTGTCAGCCCTGGTGACGTTAACATGAACCATGGCACAATGCCAGCATCAAAATGGAAATCAGATATGATCTAGTCTATCCGATAGCATGTGCCTTTCCTCCGGCAACATGTGGAGCAGCTGGAGTCCCAAGCAAAGATGCCAGATGTCACCTGCACATACTCCACCTCTGGCCTCCACAGCTGGCCCCACACTGTCACTAATGGCTTCTCTAATGAGCAACAAAGACCGTTCGCTTTGAGAGCAGCAGCATAAAACACCAGTGATGTGTCCTGCTGTTGTCATGTTTTACAGACATCAGCCAGGTCATTGGGATTCATCTCAGGAAACCCACTATGTAAATTGGGTTATTCTCCACAAGGCTCAACACTCGAATTACTCTTTGATTAACCATATTCATTCATCACATTTAACCGGCTGGGTCAGACCACACTACAAAAGGGTTTGACTGTGAATAGAGTGAATTCATTCTCTCTATTCACATTCAGCCCACACAGGGAAGCGTGTAGAGGAGGATCTCGGGAGCCACAGAGACCTCTCACTACCTCTTCAATCAAACACCAATTGGGAGTTCAGCAGTGCACAAAATGAACGCAGAAGCTATTTGCTGGAGTCCATTTGTCTCCGGTGCACTGGCCTGATGAGATCACAGGGGCCGCTTAGAGAACAGGTACCTCCGCTCTGGACAATCTTTGCTGCTGCCAGTTCAAGGCAGTTTGCCCCAGAGTCGCCATCTTACCTGCCAGATAAGAGGTTTACTGTCTCCATCCAATTTGTATTTTTCTCTCCTTATACATTTTTATTGATTGTTCTGAAATGAAATGATCTCCCTTTTGGTCAGTGTGATCCTTTCCACCCAGCTCGGCCCGGGGTTCAGATTCAACCACATCTGGGCCAATCCACTCATCAAGAGACAAGTTCATTTAGATAATGGGACATTTACAGCAGAGACATTTCCGTGACAAAAAAAAAGACGTGTCCACGGCCAATAAATGCCAGCCCACAGTCCTCCAGAGAGGAAATAGTTGCTGGACTTCTTTGGCTTTGGCCCACGTGCACCTGAAGGGACACGCCCCCTCTAGCGTCATCATAGCAACTATAGTTGTTTGAGCAGTTTTGTTTCTGGAGTAAGAATCCAAATATGTCTCATATTATACATATATATATATGTATATACATATATATATATCTCATGCGGGACCTATATAATACATTACATGTGTAGAAATATAAATATCTTAGCAAAGAGAATAACGTTTCACTACAGTGAAATTCTGCGCGTCCACTGGACGTGGAGGCAGCGCGCGTGACCATGTTGTACTTGGTTTAAGTTCATTTGACGCGGAGGACCTTTTGTTAAACCCACACCAACCTCAACCAGCGACAGCAACGTGTGTGCCGTGAGCCGGTTGGGTCTGAAGAACTGTCCTCAATGTGTCCACATGGACGTTGTGGACACATTGAGGACGTTGGCTCGGTTTACGCGCTTATCGCAAGTCCCGCGATAACCGACGTTAACTACGACAGAAGTGCAAGAACGTGCGGGCTAACTCGGGCTAACCCTAGTTTCTATTCGCACGTCAGTGAACGTGTTATTGACTAAACGCACCTTTCCTTCCGCATCGAATGGTTCCCGGTGGTCGTCCTCCTCGCCCGAGCCGGACGTGCGCGCGCCCGGGTCCCAGTCGGGGTAGGGGTTTGGAAAAGATCGCTCCTCCATCTCTGCCTCCGTGGCCGAGACCAGCTTCAAGCGCTTGGACACGTTGTCTCCCATCGCTACGGCGGCTCGGCAGGGACAAAATAACACGCTGCGCGGGCCATATAAGACAGTCACACACATATAAACCACACAAAGTGACGTGATTTATAAATATCTCCGCTGGAAAGTGGCCGTGCCAGTGGGTCTTGATCGGTTTGAAGTTGTTCAGAGGATAAATGTTTTGTAAGTGAAACAATAAGTCAAGCCTCTCCGCTCCATGATAGCAGCTACTAATATTTCAGAGAGAATAGAATATCGTAATGGCCGTAATGTGACCTCGGATTTTATCAATCGTTCCTGTTTGTGAGGATATTCATTTGTGGATATTTCCCGTTAACCAGCATATAGGTTAAAGGATTTTGTTTGTAGTTAACAAACTAGACTATGAAGACCCAGTGGGCTTTTAGGTTACCCAGAATAGCAGAATTTGTTTAATAAATTACTAACACATGTGAAAATGAATGTAAAAAATACAGCTAAAGCCATCGCCTTTTATTGTTTAACACTTCAGGGTAGAAAAATAAAGGAATGTCACCTTGAGTGTGTTTGTATGTATATATACATATACTTAACAACAGTAACAGTAATGTTGTTTCTGCCTACACTAGAACCAAACGCGCAGGTGTGAGGAGAATGAAATGCCTCCATGGACGTGCAGAACAGTTGTACAGGTGGGGCAGAACCGGGCTTACCCCAAGGCAACGTGGTCAGTCAGGCCGTCCGGTCATCGGTCCGTGCGGTTCCCCGGGGTCTGTCTCTCTCTCTCTGGCCTGGGGGGGAGGGGGGGTTTGCGGCAGCCTCCTTCTCCCAGCATCCGGGTGCGCGTGCAGCCTCTCCTGCTCCGCGGCGACAATGGAGGAGTCGGTCAGAACGGGCAGGCTGCCATGTGTCGCCGCATCACCTGCCTCTCTCTCTGCGGCTCTGCAGCATCCTTCCCCCGCTGCTCCTCTCTGAGCGTGCCGAGTGCTACAGAGCCCCCTCACCCCCCCACCCCCCTCTCCCCCATCCCACCCTCCCATCTCGTCAGAGCTCAGCCCTAACCCACCAGTCGGTTCCCAGCAGATCCGGTCCAGGGCAGCTGATGGTGACAGATGGTGTTGGTGCGGGATGCTGGCGGCATTAGCAATACCCCCCTCTTCCCCCCCCTTGTCTTCTCTTTCTGTCACTTTCTCTGGATGGCATTTTCATTTTACAAAGGAACACGTTATAGGTCCCATCGCAATAAAAAATATTCAACAAAGGCTTGGCAATAATGCATTTGATCAAAGCCCAAAAGCCTTGACAGTATCTGCAGAGCGACATCTGACCCGGGACGCTTCCCTGAGGCTCTCCGTCGCTTATCTGGTCTCTGTGCAACGCCAACACAGGAGATAGAACTAGCGCTTGATGAAAGTCCTGAACAAGTGAGTGGTCTGCATTAAATTACACGCGCAACGCCTCCTGTTTGTCTGTGTGCGGCTGATATTCATTTAACACGTTGCCTTCGCGTTCTCAACAGTCACATTTAAAAGTCATCGATATGTTTTATGGCCGGTATTGAGGGATTTGTAATGTTGCATCGTGTTCCCATGAGTGTGAAACGGTAAGAAATGTAGCTCACTTTAGTGATCAATAATTACAGCCTTGTCCCATTTATTTTGGATGGGACCCTATTATTTGGCATGCTGGCTCATTGTAATGGCTTTAACACAAAATAGAAGGGGATATTTATTAGTTTGATCAATTACACACTGTATTTACATGTCAAAAAGGCAGCTGATTAAAAGGGCTTATTGGCCTTTTTGTTACTGAAAACACCCACGATGGCTCCGTTCCAATCAAGTGTCCAAGCGAGAGTCACAAATGACCAGCATGCACCAAACCCAGACAGCTCAATATTTCACTATTTAAACGTATGCTTCCCCTACTGGCAAAAAGCCTATTGTGTTCCTTTGTTAAAAGAAACCAATGTCAACGGTCTCTGGAAGGCGTAACGCAAACTCTCCGTGCGGTGGTGTTTCTGAGAGCCTGCTGGTATGTGATTCACTTCGTAGGAACTCGGCAGGCGGCGATGCACAGAAGGCTGAATTTACCCTCAGGATGTTTATGGGGACTGTGGAGAGCCCGTCTTTGAAACATCTGCTGGCTGGGCAATTAACGCGGTTCAGTTGTTGAATTTAAGCAGCATTTCCTATAAATCTCTATCTTTTCTCTCCTCTTTTTCCACTTGAAAGCCTTCTTCTCTCAATTCAAAATGTTTTCTTCATTCTTCAACCCTCTAAAAAGTCTTCTAGTCTCCTTCCCCCATCACCTGGTGACTCCACCTGACCCCTGTCCTCCTCCTCATTACATCGGCTGCCTCCCACTGGCCCACCTGATCCCATCTCCCCCTCTACAGTCATGACTTTGTTCCTTTCCTCACTCACCTCATCAATCTTAAGACATATTTGGAGTCGTTATGAGTTTACGACTTGCGGTTTTCCAGTTCAGCTTCCAGTTCTTTTGTTAAGCCAACTATCTGAGATCATCACAAGCAGAAAATTAAGATTTTAGTAAAACAATTACACTCATTTAGAGTGAAATTCTTAAGACCCTTTGAGCCAATTATAACAACGTATGTCACAATGTCGTAGAGGGAAAGGAGATGCATTGTCATCTGTGTTCCTCTCCAATGACAATACCTTTGCCTCTTGTTTCCATAGGAACAGGCAGCTCTTACAAGGCGATGGTCAGAACTGCAGCCTCAGCGTTTCCTCTTGCTGAGCGTGTGGACTTGATATAATACCTCAGCGTATGTGACACCTGGGAGCGATTGCTGCAGTAATAGTGTGAGAAATGTTAATTTAGCTGTTCCTGTTTTCCGATCCAGCGGAAAAAGCATTTTCAGATCAGACCGATGTTCTGGCAACATGAGAGAGAAAGAAAGAGCCTCAAACTGCTCATTATGCTTCATCGAAGGCTGATTTGTCACCCTGCGTTGACAACCACACACACACACACACACACACACACACCACACGCACACACAGCAGGGTGGACCTCTTCCGTTCACAGTAACAGGTACCTCTCTGTCAATCCGATTCATAGAAACTCATTTTTTCTAGATGGTGTTGTACAGTATTTACACATACAGTATATTCTCTATGAATACATGCAGAACACAACAACTAATCTTATGGCTTTCTACCATAAGAGATTCTGCAAATAACATTATGAATAACATTGCGATTTATTGCGGTTCAACAATGCCTTCAAAAGCACCTTATACTTTTATTTAATCCGAAATCAGGAACATTTATTACCAAAATATGTCACACATACAAGGAATCTGACTTGGCGGTTGGTGCATAACAGAGACAGTGACACAACATAGTGCAAGTACTAATATATGAACAAAAGCATTCACCATTTCATACAAACCGGGTGCTCTACTGCCTGACTGCTGAACCCCCCCATCCCCTTGATCCAGAGCCCAGTGGGGGTAGTTGATGAAAGCAGGGGGGCAGCGGTGATGCTCTAATCCCTCATGTAAAAGCTGCGATCACGCTGTGGAGTTTTCGTCAGTTGCAAAATCCCTCCCAAGGTCCTCTAGAGAAGCTTTATCTGTCTCCCTGCTGAAAACTGAAACACAGTGAACTGTCCAACAATGGAAGCTGCAGAGGGGAAGGAGGAGGGAGATCAGGGGAGAAGCATCCATGGGAGGAAAAGGCCCTCTTAGTCTGACTGAGTGCGTGCTGACCTATGGGCAGCAGGACGTCCAAGCACTCCGTTCTCTCCTCTTTCCTATGAGGAATCCAGCTGCAGCGTTCTGGATCAGCTGGAGGCGTTTTTCTTTAAAAGCTTTTGGCTTTTAAATTGGTAAGTGCGTCGTCATTGTGACACTGTTAACTCGTGTCTGAATTACTCGGGGGAGAGGTCTGGGGACCTCTCCCCCGTGCTCAGTTCTGTGTCCCCTTTATGACTCCAGTTTAGCTGCTGTGTGAGATCCCTGATTACTAGATTCAGTCATTTAAGACGTATTTATATATTTAGATGACTGCTTTTATCTGTAATTTTGTGATCCAGAGTTTAAATAAATTATCTTAATTTGAATGAATTAGTTGTGTTTGATTTTTGGCAATGACAGTGGAAATATGCATAGACCAATGTATGCCTGAATACAAATGCCTTTATGAATAAAAACGAAATAAAAAACAGTTAAATGGAATTGGCATTGTGTGTTTGATGCAAAAGTGCAGCCCAACAAAAACTCCCAGAAGCTCCAAAATGCTGCCTCGTCCAAAAGCTCTGCATCGCCTTATCTGTGGCAAAAAGGAGGGAGATCATCACTCCGACAGCTCAAGATACAAAATCCCTGCAAATGTGCAGCACACAGTTGAATTCAGGAAAGGGTAATCCTGCCATTCATGTGCACACACACACACACACACACATATACACACACACACACACACACACACACACACACACACACACACACACACACACACAGGCATGAATCAGAGAGAAATATGCTAAGCAGTAACACAAGGACCTTCACCCTGTGGCTCTCGGCCTGCACGCTTCATGACATCCACATGCACACAGTGCTCGGGTGCCTCAGTAACGGGAATAACCTCAATGAATCACGTTCAAGCCGTTCTACCCAAACACGAGGCGTTACACGGCAGAAGAGAGATTAGCTGACTCAGCGGTGAACCCAGACACCTTTTCTGTGCAGTGACAAAGTGCCATCCATCCTGGACTGTAGCAGAATCCTCTGGGGAGGGACGGGGGGTCAGAAGAGGAGGAGGCTTGTGTAAAGGTGTTGTGTTCTCCTGGAGCTCAGTGGAGAACACGGTCTTCCTTCAATCAGAGGATCGGCGGGTCGATACGCTTGTCACTGGTCCCTGGCAGCACAATTCACACCATCATCACACCCGTACGGAGCGTCAACGGGGTGTGAATGGGTGTGAATGGATGTGAATGGGTGTGAATAGATGTGAATGGGTGTGAATGGGTGTGAATGGGTGTGGAAATCAACTGGAAACAGCTAAATGTCTCTATTGAGATTGTGACCACAGGACAAATACACTCAAAAAGTTTTTTTTTTAATGATTTTCATAATGTTGCAATGGCTAATTCCACTAATTTGTGTGCTATGATATAACAATTGAGAGTATAAAGTAATTCTTTATGGTCGAGAGAACATCATCACCAGCAAAGAGAGCTGTACCAATCCAGTGGTGTCATACTGTATTATACTAAGATGTTTCCATGCTGCTACCATTGCTGTAGCTGTCAGAGAGTGTGTTTTATTTACTAACCCATTTCCTCTGTTCCTCACTATTCGTGTTCTGTTTTCATCTTTGACAGTCCTGTGAATAAACTGCCAGTCCCCTCATTTCCAGTGATCTGAAGTAGACATTTCAGTGCATCGCTGCTGCTGATCTGATCACAGGGGCTGAATCAAAGCTTGTGGTAAATACTTTGCGTTGAAAGGAGCACTAAGTACAAAGAGGCCGACACACACACACTTCCAATTAGGAAAACACTTCCAAGAAGTGCGTTGTGTCACACTCCACAATTTGTAGTTTCGGCAGACAGCGCAGCTTGATCTCTCATCTAATTACAAACGGCGCTGCTGCTGCATAATCATATTCATAAGCTGCCACACACACACACACACACACACACACACACACACACACACACACACTCGTCTCACAAAGAAGCTTGTCTAATGTGGATTTGTGGTTTTTGGCAAAGCAGAGCGAGTCTTGGCACGTCGTGGGAATTCAGTCACATTGTGCCATTGCTGACTCGTCCTTTTGCATCATCTGGAGGAATTGATTGATTGGCTTACAGGCATTTATCTCTGTGATCGGCCCAACCGACTATTAACGGGGTCCGCAGTTAGACAACGGTGCTTTAGTTCCAGGTGAGCTGTGGACGGACCCAGAAACACGCTTACACCCACTCCTGCACATTGGCAGTCTGATGGCAAAAATACTGATTATTACAGTATTATGGAGGATTCTACAAGGGGGGAAATACAGGTAAACTGACTCTTAAAATGAAAGTCATGAAAGTCAGCTTTTTGTATGTTTTACTGAATTGTTTGATTTGAAAAACACATATTATTTAAGATGTGTGCACGCTTTGTTCCAGTACGGATATTTAAACTGTCATAGATAAATTAAAACCATGGAGAAATAATGAATATCAGTTCAACATCACTCACAGCGTGCAGACGTGGACGGGAGATCAATGGAGAATAATCTATTTTAATCTGTGGGTGGGTGGGAGGAGGCGGGTTTGGAGGACCGAAGAAAGAAGAGAACAGCAGGACATTTGTCTTTTTCATGGCGAGGATGTTGACATTTAATAGTGTGGGGAAGAGGAGTGATTAATAACACTTTTAAAGGCAGCGTTCCCTTTCACTGACCCACTCACATTATGCAAGCTGACGATTGTTTACATGGAAGATCTTAGTACATTTTGTCAGGAAAGTATCAGTTTCACTATTATCAATTAGAATGTTTCTATCACTGCTAAAGAAGCAAAATATGTATCATCAACTACATCCAGTTGATGGCAGACTTACCCTTAGAGAAATAAACATAGGAGCCCAATATGATCTAAATCCTGAGAGAAAAACAAACACCAATGGTTTTATTGACACAGAGAGGAAGGAGGCTGGTTTCAATTACACACATTAAGTCTTGCACACAAGTTAATTAGAAGATGAGAAGAATATGACGTCATGTTTTCTTTGGGTAACATCACTTTCCACTTGCAAGCTGCAATTCTGTTGAATAAATATTTCTTGAATAAAGTACTTTATTTTAAGATTTAAGATAACATTTTATTAAAACATTATAATCCAGTCCTTATTTGACGTGCAATGACGGAGGAATAATCATATTTATTATTAGAGTTAATAGTATTTATAATTCTTTTAGTTCAATATGAAATATATCGGTACATTTTTAAATACTTTTCTATTTTTTTTATTTTGTTTATTTGACAGTCAGTTATGGACTAAATACTTAAACTGCTTCATACTAGTAATGAATATATTATAAAACAATACAATACATCACAATATCGTAACTATTATAAATATCCAATATAAATATGTTATATAACTTTAGGCGACGTGACGTAGTTTCAACCAGCCTCCACTTACAAACAGTCATGCCCGCGTACATGTGCGCGCGTGTACAGACCGTGATGCTGCCGCATTACCTCCAGAGACCACTAGATGGCAGCAACACAGTCCACATGCAGGATGCGATCATAACGCCTCTTGATGGACCTGTGAGGTGGAAAGTCATCTTCACAAATGAATAAAAAGAGAGACGGTTTCAGCATCTCAACACCTGCGTGCCTGTGTCTCTTGTCTCTCATGACTCTTACAGTCCCAGTCAAACGTCTGGACAGACTTTGGTCTTCATGGACTGGAATTGAATGATAAAATGTGTCCAAACATTTGATGGGACTGTGTGTCTTAACAACGTAAGAGTAATGCAGAGTGCCAGTACAGCGAGACCTGTGCCACCGTTTTTACTGTTCCTGATTTGACCTGGGCCTGAAGGACGGACACAGCAGGGACGTTTATGGACATTTCTGTGTCCTTTTTTGGACCCCTGGTAAATATATCAGTATTTCAAATGTAACGCCACTCAGTTAGTTGTCTGTCTCAGCATGTTACAGATGCTTCACTCGCCCCGGTAACGTCTTCTTCTGGTGATCATATTCACATGGATATTTAAGTGTGATTGTCATGTCTGATTGATTCTCATCTCTACAAGAGTGTCCTCGATTCCTCCACATGTCAGTCAGTCGGTCCTATGGTGCACTTACCATCTACATTCATGTCCAACTGAACACCAATGTTTTGTTTTCGGAGTTTTTCAAACATTATCAGGTATTTGATGCTTTTCCTGCAATACACAGGAGAGGTCCAACCTCAAACTATTTGAGTTATTTAGCTCGTTGGCCCCGACCTTTTACATTCCACCAAGACCTCTTTGGATGGATTGGTTGGATGGTTTTTCCCGTTTGTCATTTCATTGTTGTTGCTCTTGTTTTAAAACCTGGTCAAAACCTGTGAGCATGTAGGAAAAAAACAAGAGTTAAGAGTTATTGTTTATGTTTCCCACGTGTCATTCCCTGGGATGAGAGACATAAATCAAACGTTTGACGGGAAGGTAGTGACGAAGAGCACAGATCATCTGAAGTGACAAAATCATCTTCAAGGTCACATTCATCCATCAGCCTGCTGCTCCTTCCTCCTTCCACACCAGCGTCATAAATCACTCCCAGACACAGACGCAGACGATGGTTCAAACTTTAATTCCACGTGAAGAATCTCTTTGAGATACTGTCGTATCCGTGTGGTTTGCTCTATGTGCTACATTTCATTGCTTTTGTCTTGATTGTCCTACATTTAGCTTCACTCTATTGCTACCACAGTAGAACAAACAGCATTTCACAGCGAGGCCGCTGACGTTTCTGAGTTGTTCACATCCTGTGATCCCCAGTCACCACGTCCCGGTTCATTTGTCTGGGGGAGCGGCTGGAAATGGAGCAGATGACAGATTGAAGTGGTGATGAAACACTGACTGTTTGTCTGTTTTCTCCCTGGAACATTTGTCCTATTAGCGCTGCTGCTGATTCTCATGCAACACAATGTCTCTGCCAGATAACAAGAGAGCACCAGAGCTTTCCCGTCACGTGACACAGCTTCACACTAAAGCTGCTCCCCTCTAGTGCCAGTTTCCATGGGTTACATGCACAGTTTATTTACAAAATAAACCTGCATAGGACCTCATGTTCGCAATCTCTAGTTTCAAGTCCTGATGTTCGTTTAGTAAGTTATTAATATTATTTAGTATGCTTTAGGACGGCCTTAACGTGGTTAACAGGCCGTTGCTCCTCCAAAGAGCAGTTACAGTATGTTCACATGTTTTCGCCGGATGAAAAAAAGACAAACTGCAGGCTTCAAAACGTCAGAGCACAAACCAAATGGGAAGCCTCGGAGGCAGTTAAATAGGACCCTTTAAAATAGTTTTTGCAGAATAAAATAAACATTTGTTTGTCTTTACTTGTATCAGTACTTAGAGTGGATACGTCACGTTAGGTTGTTCAGTCCACAGCTCTCAGTCTGTTAGCTTGCACTGCAATCCTGAAGACGATATGATGCAGACTGGTGGCGTGTGTATGATAATGGCTTGTCTGGACCAGGCTTGGCTTGTGTGGTACGAGCAGGATGCTGCTCAACCACTCAGAAAGCTACAGTGGCAATTTACCTCAATTATTTACCAACAGGGGATGAGGAGGCGCGGGCCTTCCTGCTAGTACAGTTTGTATAGAGACCAGAGTACAGTGTTCACCAAGATACTAAAATAAAAACCGAAATGTAAAAACCTAACTAACCTCTTTTAAGGACAGACCTTTATTTTGTAACGCCACTCTGCATGTGACAGATGGAAACAGACATGTAGCCCCTTAAAGCTAGAAGGGATCATAGTTTGAAGGTCCAGGCTGCTGACCAAGTAGGGGTCCATCCATCGTCAAACCACTTATCCTGTACACAGGGTCGCTGGAGTCCATCCCAGCCAACTTCGGGTGATAGACGGGGTACACCCTGGACTGGTCTTTGGACTGTTAAGCTGGAGAACCCAGAGAGAACCCATGCAGACACAGAAAGGCCACTCGGCGGAGTGGAACCCAGGACCTTCTTGCTGTGCTAACCACCACGCCACCGTGCCGCCCGGGGGAAGGGATGTTGATTAAAAAAAAGACAGTTTTGGGAGCAAAAGTTAACTGGAACAGTACACAAATGAAATGATGAGAAACAAATGGACCCTTTTTTACTGAAGATATGTGAGCGTTCCAAAATGGGAGGAGCACTGAATGAGTGGTGAACATTTGGGGACAAGCTCTTTTGGGGAAGGTTTGTGTGTAGAAAAGCCAAACAGCATCCAGGGAGGTTTCCTGGGCCTACTTCTCCTGTCCTGTTCTGTTTGACCAATCACTGCTGTGTCTTCAGTCAGCGGTCCAGCTGTCTCCCAGTGTTTCCACTGCCCGGGTGCTGTCCATGGTGCTGGATCAGAAAGGCACAACCAGAGGGCCTCAGAAGGTCCTTATAGAAATACACAATCAGCTCACATGGTGGAGAAAATGATGCACACACTGCCGTCAAGTCAACAGCAAAGCGCCAATGTTCATTTTCTACAGAAGATCATATTTTTTCACCGAGGTTCATGTGCCATGACTTTTTTATTCATGATATGTTATGGTATTTTTTCCTAAAGTAAATATTTGCTGGATTTTGAATTATAAATCCAATTACCCTGGTGTAAACATTAAGGCAATAGTTTAGAAATATGCTTTAAAAGGGGTTTTACTTTATTTTATACCACAAGAAATGAGACGAATGTGAATTATTCTTAAGTAGGCCTAAAACAATTGTGTCCGCGCGTTCGTGTGCGTGCTTGTGTGTGTGTGTGCGCGCAGGTTGTCGGGTGGCGGCGGCTCGTAAAGGGGGCGGGGAATGATACAACATCACAGGCATGCCATTCATCCCCGACACGCCGGACTCCTCCATCCTCCCCGGTGCCCGAAGGACTGCGTGCCCCCCGGATGCCTCCTCTCTCTGGGGACCCTCCCCGGTAGCATGGAGCCGACATCGTGAATAAAGGAGCGTCTCCTCCTCGCCTTTCTCTTGTGACCTCGCGGAGCTCGGCGGAGACATGAGGAACCCGCTGGCGGATTTAGCCCTGACATTCCTGCTCTTTCTGGAGGTGAGCGACGCCCGCCTTTGTTTTTAATGAGCGGCGAGGTATTTTTCATTCACATATAAGCGCTGCATCGCCCGATGAGTGCCTTCACCCGATGGACAACGCGTCGGTGATGTTTTGGGGCTTGTCGGTTGCTCCCTTTGATGTCGCGACGCGCCGCCCGCTGTTTTCTGAGCGCTGTTCGCCAAATTCCATTCAAAAGAAGCCCCGCAGTCAGCGGACTAACTGGGATCTCTTTAAAATGAATGACTCTGTGTGGTAACTTTGACGTGCAAGTGAACCATCCAGAAACACCAAATGAAAATACATGCATATGATATTAGAACTTTATTTTGGTAGCATGCTGTTCCCGCGATTGTGACGTAAAGAACCAATAATTACATCTCAAAATGGGGGAGATGCTGGCGGCTTATTATACTAGCTGGAAAGCAGAGTGGGGAAGGAGGCTACGACAACCTTCTCCAAATGATAAAAGCACAGCGAGATGCTGTCAGAACGCCAAGGAGGCACCTGGGATTCTGTAATCCTTTGTCCTGGTGCCTGGACCCCTGAAACTAGTCACTGGGTTACTGGGCATGGACCCCTGAAACTAGTCACTGGGTTGCTGGGCATGGACCCCTGAAACTAGTCACTGGGGTACTGGGCCTGGACCCCTGAAACTAGTCACTGGGTTACTGGGCCTGGACCCCTGAAACTAGTCACTGGGTTACTGGGCCTGGACCCCTGAAACTAGTCACTGGGGTACTGGGCCTGGACCCCTGAAACTAGTCACTGGGTTACTGGGCCTGGACCCCTGAAACTAGTCACTGGGGTACTGGGCCTGGACCCCTGAAACTAGTCACTGGGGTACTGGGCCTGGACCCCTGAAACTAGTCACTGGGTTACTGGGCATGGACCCCTGAAACTAGTCACTGGGTTACTGGGCCTGGACCCCTGAAACTAGTCACTGGGGTACTGGGCCTGGACCCCTGAAACTAGTCACTGTAGGACAGGCACACTCACGAGGTGAATTTAGGGCCATATACTTTTTTCTTCTTAACTGTGTGACACATGCACTTTGAATTATTCTCAGCCGTGTGAATGTTAGCTCATTGGGTATTTCAGGATAATTTCAACTTGAATGAGGGGACATTGATGAGCTTTAATGTAGGTTTTGGAAAGGCCTCTGAAGGTAGCAGGACGAGGTTGTGATCCTCGCTCTTTCTGCCAGTCCGGTGTCACTAACATTCATGTCTGTTCCTGTATTATTAATACTCATCATTATTATTTCATTTTATTCAGCAGACTTAGAGAGCACATCCATTTTGAATGTGAGCAGGCGGCCAGGAGGGACCGTTGGACCTTCCGCTGGTCCTCTTTGATATGTGGTTCTTAACAACTTGTACATTTGGTCGGGGACTGCTGATGTTTGTTTCTTTTAAAAAGGCTTTGACCAGCAAAAGTGCAAATCGCTTGGGTCTTGTGTTGTGGTGGAAGAGCGTCGGAGAAAGGAAACAACCCCTTTGGCTTTTAATGTCTGTGAAAGGGATGCAGGTCATTTTAGAATCACACCGGTGTTTGGCCACACTGTTGATGATCGTACAAAACTGCATTCATATTACTTTGCAACAAAGCTTTCATCACTGAGGGCAAATGAGAAGAGCCACCTGCTACACCATGGAGTTATTTATTCAGTCTGATGCATTCTAGTGAGAGGAATATCAACGCCACGCATACATAGGTAGAGAGGCTGGGACTTCTCAGGCTGGGACTGCATCACCCTCCAGAGGCTTTCTACAACATGTTGGTTCTCAGCATCGATGGAATCGTCTTCAGGTTCATGAGTTTCCTCCTGTCCCCTGTCCTCTACACACTGCTGCATAAATACCAGGTACATGTGGTACGAAGCTCGTCAAGATACCGTCACTAGGCAAGTATCAAAGAGCTTGTTTTAATTCTTGTTAATGGGGATGCAGAGTGGAGAATTACATTTCCTGTGGTTCCTTTGCTGCTTTTAGTGGGTTTGAGCTTTCCTACGGTTTTTAGGGTGGAGATTTACATTGATTGAGTTTTGTGGGAGTGATTGATCCCGAATTGCTTAATTTCATCGCACCAGAACCCTACTGCCACCAGAAGCCACTGTACAGCATAATCGTTGATATGTGATATTTGAACATTAACTAAAATAATTAGTTTTGGTCAATTTACAGAATGAATTGCAGGAAATTAGCTTTTGCATCATGTTGTTGCAAAGGACGGAGATGGAAACCATTTCCAGGCACTAGTTTTGTAGGATGCTTCGAAATGCACCTGCAGTTCTGAAGAGTGAAGCCAATGCGAAAGTCCCTTCAACTTGCATTCAGCTTTTAATGTACGGAAGTCGAAATATTTTTTTCTTGGTTCTTTCATTAAACATTTTAAACATCAGTCTATGGTCAACCTCTAGTTTCAAGTCTTCTTCAATACAGCATAGTGTTCATTTAGTAAATGATGGTTCATTTACAAGTAACCAATAATTCACATTCAAGGCGTAGCTCTTTGATCTCTGCCATTTGAGCTTTGAGTTTATGAATGCCTATAGAAAGGCCCTCCTCTCCAGTAAGAACGGTCCAGTGGGGGCAGAAGATGCGGAATCAGCTGAATCATTTTGTGATCTACTTCTCCCTCATATTCTTCTGTTTGAATCACGCTTTCCGACGCAAAAAAGAGAAGATAAGATATTGATTTGAGGTGACCAGGCCAGCGTATCCCTCATCCTGCTGGACCCAGCTTGCGTTGTGCAGCGATGCAGTTGATGAACACTCCATATCCAGACTCGCAGGGATAACGTTCTAATCGCATTATAACGCAGCTGTATGATGAATTTGTTTCATTTTGGCACTTGGTGTCTGCGTCTCCAAACGGGAAAAGCTCATCTGCACCTCCTTGTGACAGCTAACGAGTGCTTTGTGTTCAGTGTTGGCCGTTCTTTGCTGGAAAACTTAAAAGTTAATACGCCGCTTTGTTTCCTTTTGTTGTGATTGGATTTTAATGTGACATGTTTCGCGTTCACCCCACATGACCCTCAAAAACACAGAATGACTTGCATAAAGAAATACAATACACATTGTACATCCAAAAGGGACATTTTATTTTTATTTTTCTAACCGCTGAGCTGAGCAGTATAGGTTCAAACGGTATACCAGTATAAGATTTCCGTACGCTATGAATTTCTCACGTACCGTATTACGCTATAACAACTGACATTCATTGGCAGGCGTATGAATCGAGGAGACCCTAGCGGCCCGGAGATACTTGTCTTACGTGTGTTGACATTGAGTCATGGTTATAACTAGCCGACTTCCACTAACAAGGGAGTATTTAACTAGAGGTTGAATGAAGCGTTAGGTTCAGCGTTTGCATAGCCTCGCAACACGAAGACGAGCAAGACAAAGACTAGGGAGTCTTTCGTGTGAGTCAAGACGAGCAAGACAAAGACTAGGGAGTCTTTCGTGTGAGTCAAGACGAGCAAGACAAAAACTAGGGAGTCTTTCGTGGTGTCTTCGGCTGAATGCGGCGTCTTCTTCTGCTATTTTTAATAATGTGTTTGACCTCTTTACCACGGGCTAGATCTGCTCTCTATCGTAACCTCTCCTCTCTCACCGATCCACCCGCTCCACACACGTCCAGCACCTTGTCACAGGGGGCTCTGGAACTGCCAGTCAGCTACTCGCAAGGCAGACTTCATCTCCGGCTTTGCTATCTAGCAGTAGCTTGACTTCCTCGCTCTCACCGAGACCTGGATCCACCCCAGCCGCTCTCTCCTCCGCCTTTTCCTTCAGCCACACACCCAGGCCCACTGGTAGGGGTGGTGGCACAGGTCTACTCATTTCACCCAAATGGAGTTTTTCTCTCTACCCTCTTCCATCGTCTGTCTTTCGAATTCCATGCTGTAACAGTTACTCCCCCAGTACAATTAAATATCGTTTGTCCTTTACCGTTCGCCAGGCTCCTTAGGTCATTTCTTGGATAACTGGACATTCTCTAGTCCAATTTCCCTGAAAATGGCCCTCCGCTCATCCTCCTGGGTGACTTCAACATCCAGACAGAGAAGTCATCTGACCTCTTACACCTACTTTCTTCCTTCGCTCTGTCACTCAGTCCCTCTCCTCCTACTCATAAAGCCGGCAATCACCTTGACTACATTTTCACTAGAAACTGCTCTACCACTAACCTCTCTGTAAATCCACTTCACATCTCTGACCACTTCTTCATCTCCTACTCTCTTCCGCGCTCTATAACTAACGACCCTGCCCCATCAACTGACTCTCACTCTGTACCTGTTCGTCGCAATATTCGCTCCCTCACTCCCTCCTCTCTGGCCTCCTCTGTCAGCTCTCCCTTCAACTGACTCCTTCTCACTCTTGCATCCGAACGCTGCCGCAGAGACTCAACTCTTTCCTCCTCTCTAGACTCTCTCTGCCCTCTTACGATAGGACGGCCACCATGGTGGCTGTCATGGCACCGGTTGAGACAGCCATGCATGCGAGCATCGGAAAGGAGATGGCGGAAATATAAACAACCTGGTGACCTGCTTGCGTTTCAATCTCTTCTCTCCCCTTTTTCTGCTTCTATCGCCGCTGCCAAAAGCTCTTTTTACCAATCCAGAATTGAATCTTCATTTTCTAACCCCAAAAAACTCTTAACCTCCTCAAACCCCCTAGTCCTCCTCCATCCTTCTTCTGGGAGACTTTGTCAACTACTTTATACCAAAAAAATAGCTGACATACGCTCCTCCTTCTCAAACCCACCTCCTACTACTCGTGTCACAACGACTTCCCCTCTATGGCCCTCCCTTTCCTCCTTCACACCCCTGTCTCCTAACCAAATTCTTACCCTAGTAACCTCTGCCCGTCCGTCCACCTGCCTTCTTGACCCCATTCCATCACATGTTCTACAATCTATCACTCCTGACCTTCTTCCTTTCCTCACCTGTCTCATCAACAATGCTCTGTTATCTGGATGTTTTCCCAATTCTGCGAAGGAGGCAAGAGTTAACCCTCTCCTGAAGAAACCTACCCTCAACCCTTGTGAAGAAAACAACTACAGACCGGTCTCTCTTCTTCCCTTTTTGTCCAAAACTCTTGAACGTGCGATCCTTAACCAACTCTCCTCCTATCTCCACCATAACAACCTCCTTGACCCCCACCAGTCAGGCTTCAAGGCAGGCCATTCCACAGCGACTGCTCTCCTTGCTGTCTAAGAGCAACTCCACACTGCTAGAGCCGCCTCTCTCTCCTCTGTCCTCATCCTTCTGGACCTCTCTGCTGCATTTGACACAGTTAACCACCAGATCCTTATTTCCTGCCTTCAAGAACTTGGTGTCTCAGGCTCTGCTCTCTCCCTTCTCTCGTCCTACCTCGACGCCGCACCTACCGGGTAACCTGGCGAGGATCTGTGTCGAAACCTTGTCCTCTTACTACTGGAGTTCCTCAGGGTTCCGTCCTGGGTCCCCTCCTCTTCTCTGCTCTGCACCCACTCTCTCTGCGCTGTCATTCGCTCCCATGGCTTCTCCTACCACAGCTATGCCGATGACACCCAACTAATTCTCTCCTTCCCTCACTCGGACACTCAGGTGGCGGCACGGATCTCCGCCTGTCTGACTGTCATCTCTCAGTGGATGTCCGCTCACCATCTGAAAATCAACCCCAAAAAGACTGAACTACTTTTCTTTCGGGGAAAAGATTCTCCGACCCAGGATCTGACGGTTAACTTTGGTAACTCTGTGTTAACGCCCACTTTGACTGCTTGGAACCTCGGCGTGACACCCGACAGCCAACTCTCCCTGACTCTCAACATCACTGCGACACCACGATCCTGTAGATACACTCTCTACAACATCAGGAGAATATGTCCCCTTCTCACTCAGAAGGCAGCGCAGGAACTGATTCAGGCTCTTGTCACCTCACGCCTGGACTACTGCAACTCCCTCCTGGCAGGTCTCCCTGCTACCGCCATTCCACCTCTGCAGCTCATCCAGAATGCAGCAGCTCGGCTGGTCTTTAACCTTCCGAAATTCTCCCACACTCCTCCGCTCTCTTCACTGGCTACCGGTGGCTGCCCGCATCCAGTTCAAAACATTGGTGCTCACGTACCATGCTGTGAATGGATCGGGTCCAGTTTACATCCAGGACATGGTCAAACCTGACATCCCGACCCGCACTCTCCGCTCTGCATCTGTAAAACTGCTCATCCCTCCCTCACTGAGAGCAAAACACTCGACTAGATCTCGACTCTTTGCTGTCCTTGCTCCGAAATGGTGGAACGAGCTCTCTGAAGACACCAGGACCGCAGAGAGCCTTCACATCTTCCGCCGCAAACTAAAGAGTCTCTTCAGACTCTACCTCGACTAAAAGACTAACAAATTGTAGCACTTAAGTGGTATTATAAGTACAATTTATCTATAGCAAATTGTAAATTGGCTTATTTGATGAAATTGCACTTTCTTGCTCTTCTGAGTATGTATCCCTATGGTTGAATGCACTTATGGTAGGTCGCTTTGGATAAAAGCGTCAGCTAAATGACATGTAATGTAATGTAAAGAAGTAACTCTGTTGCTACATGAAAACACGGAAAAAAGCGATACAGGAGGAGCAACGAGAGTCCAGAGATGCAACAACACAACTTGTGCCCGAAAGAGGAGCTGTGTCTGTTTGGAGGGTTTTTGGTTTTGGAAAATACTACGTAAGTTACGTTAGATCAGAAAACGATTTATTGCAAAGTCTGTTGAGCTTCTGGTGGCAATGCTAGCAGCCACAACAAGCTAACACGCTAACGAGCTAACACGCTAACTAGCTAACACGCTGACTAACTAACTCACCGGCAAGTTCTGTTTGGGTAGCCGCGGTCCTTTTCGGGGTCAATGAATTAATGTGTTTAGTAGAAAAAGCAACACCGTCACATGCCGGGATACCGTCAGATTGTTTTGGCCATACTGCTACAGCCCTAATTTGCAGGTAAAAATCTGAATATGGACCTTGTAAAATACGACAAAATTGAAGTTAAACACATTTTTTTCCTGCCCTTTTGGAAGTGCCATTTAGACTTCAAACATGTGACAGAATCCTGGTCAAATGGTCAAAATCTCAAAGTAAAGTCTTTTACTTTCTTAGTGCTGTGGTAGAACTGTGAGATGCAGAATTGAATTGCACAGCGGCTGCTGGTGAAGACAACAAGGTCTGCAACGACTTCCTCCAGCTGTGTTCCCTCCGTACCGTATCGTCTCCACACTGACACTCAAATGAAGCTTGTCGGCCTGTTGCTGCTCCCCAACGGCGTCTGTGAGGTCAGCTGAGATGGATGAGACGGGAGGGAAGACCAATGGGAGGAAGGGAAGGAAGAACTGCAACATGCAGAGGTGGAAGGGGTGAAACTAAGGCAACAGACTGGATTTTTAGCAAAAGTACATTCTGTACGCCAATATGTCCATTAGGTTCTTTCTAAGGCCGACATGCACACTAATTCACTTTGGACCGTTTTTAATGCTAAGATAGTTCCTGGTCATTCCAGGTCTGCCAATTGCTTTTTATTGCAGAATCACAAAGATTTCCAGCTCATTCCCGGGAACGGGCAAAGCAACTTGGACCACAATGGGAGACTTAACTGCCCTTGAAATGATCATGGACACTGCAGGCCACACAGAGTTATTCAAAGTGATGGCAGCTGTCCTGATGAGTTTGAAGGCCCTGAGTGGAGCACAGCCGCGTTCAGTAATGACCTTTGCGTATCGACCCGGTTTCCTCTCACACCTACGGCGTCCCGCAAAGACAATACGCAGCACACACACACACACACTCCCACTTCTAAAGCTTTTATGTACACTGTCCAAACTGCCCCCCCTCCAACAAATGCCCTTTAGCTAAAACCCATCTGAGCTGCTTTTAGAGCAGGAAAACACATTTGGTTGTGTAACGGTCATTCTTGTCCCGCTGGAGCACAGGGAGACATTTTTCTCCGCTGTCAGCACTTCCACGGAGCTCCAATTAGAGACGCACAATGAACAGAGCTGGACGGGGACACTGCTGGCACAGCGTGGGGGACATGAGAACAATTAGGTCCAAGCTAATGGTGGAAAAATGGGTGTATTCCTATATTAGAAATGTGTCATTTGAATTAGTTCATGTGCCAATGACGTAGTCCTCATTCAGCATCCTCCATCCGGTGAGTGAGTCGTATAACGGCTGCTTTTGGCAGGAACATTGTGGGATGAGAAGCTGGTAGATTCTGAGGGGGTCGAGAGGGGGATCAGGGGAGTGATCTCTGAGCCGACTTTAATTTAGATTTCATGTACAGGCTGTACAGGCGAAACCCGGACCCCTTCAATTACAGCCCGGATCCATATTAATGCAGAGAAGGAGCCAAGTAGATGGATGGTTCCCCCACGAGGCCTCAGGCGCTTGTGCTTAGTTAACACTTCTGGCTGATGTGAAGCATTAAATTACACTCCTGTGGAAAAATAATGTCTTTTATGATACGTGAACAAATCTAATGAACAACGTCGACCGCACCGAGGTGTCTCATTAAGTAGTTGTATTGTGTATTTTATAAAAATATACATTGATGTGTATTGGTTTTAAGCTTTTAAAATACAGTACCACTCTAAAGTTTGGACACACTGTCATTCAATTGAATGGGAAGCTTTTCCCATCTTTTCTTGCTCTTTGTCTCTTTGTTCCTGACATTCCTTCCCAGTATGGTCCCATCCTCCACCAGTAGCCCCACAAATAATCTATTGTGTTGCCTAGTTGGAAACCATTGAAACAGCTGCACCACAAACATGTGGCGGGATATTATTGTATATTTTTGGGGGCGGTTCTATCGAACCACCGAAGGAGACGTGAGCGAAAAGATGATGGTTAAACCATTCGATCCTCCGTGACATTTTGTTTTCAACTTCCGTGCAGACAAGAACAACTACCTCACATGAGACAACGCGGGTCAAAGAATTCAAACAGTAAAGCACAAAAACAACTACGTTTTATCAACGTTTTTAAGGCAGGAGATCTATCTTTTCCATCCAGAAAAGTACTTGTGAGTAAATATTCTCTCGTCCTGATAGCGCAGATGCTTCTGTAGCATCACTTCTAACAGTGTCCTGCGTACGTCGTCTCAGCACTCCAAAGCCCCGCCCAAAGCTGACTGCACTCACAGTAACTGCATTAAGTCTGTCTAGATGGACGTGTGCGTGACCCTGTGAAGTCGTGGGAATCCATCCGCCTTGTAAAGGCTGCGGTGCTGTAGAGCATCCGTCATCCATTACCCAACAAAGTGTAGAATCGAATGACTGAAAGAGCCAATCAACGCGGACGTATCTGTGCAGTGACATTGGTCTCGTCCTATCACAACGCGGCTGAGTCAGAGGACGCTTTACGTGAGGATGAAATGTAGTGTAACCACCTGCCCTCCAAAGCTGCTCTCGCCGTGATACTTTTCTAATCCCCACCAGGAGTTAACAGAGGTTAGTGCATAACAATGTGACTTGGGTGAATGTCATATGGATGCTGCTCGTCTCCTGAGGCGAGGCCACTAGCCCCTCTCTCCTATCTCCTTCTCTCCTTCTCACCCTCAGTCCTGTAGGCCTCTCTGCAGGGCTGCGTATTCATAGACATCAATAAACCGTATTTGTCTCTCAATGGAACAAATGAGGATTCACACACACACACAAACACACAAAGGATTCAGGCGGATCTTCGCTGATTGGGCTCTTCTGCTTTTCATTGTGTTCTTAAACTGATGGACGTCTGTCTTTTACAGTGTGTGGAAGCCAAGAAGTACTGCTGGTATTTTGAAGGCCGATACCCCATCTACTTCATGTAAGTACCCCAACGTTCTGTCCTACAGCTAAAAGAACCTTGAATGTCCATCATCGATGCCGCTGCAAAGAGACCTTTTGCTAAGTGGAGGATGGAGGATCTGCTAAAGCCCAACTTGAGAAAGGACACGGCTCTTTGTGGGGTTCTAAGTTCTATAATGCAGTTGTTTCATAACCACAATTATTCTGAAAAAAAGTGAGTCTTGAGTTTTGGTGAAGTTAACTTCTCAAGAATGTAAACATTTCCTGTTTTACGTTAAAGGCCCACCAAGGTCCTACAGAACAGAGGTCCCCAACCACTGGGCCGTGGACCAGTACCGGGCCACAGAAAGGAAATCTCTGAAAGAATACTTTGTTGAAAGCACGTCTAATGCTGCATTTCTGGAGATGACGCTAAACAAGTCTAGTGCCTGAGTTAAGGTCAAGGTTTAAGCTCAGCTGGTGACCCTGTGCCTGGAGCCAAGGGTCAAAAGAAGGACAAAACCTGTCTTTGTTCACCAAGTATGGGTATATATATATATATATATATATATATACAAAGCTCCACCCTACAAGGCTTCCTCGTTCCTACAACCAGCTGGATGTTTGAGGCGGATCTACCCGCTTTCTATTTTCTTAGGCTCCCTCATTACTTTCACAATACCTACTGCAACATTTCATCAGATCATCCTTTGTTGCCCAGATGCAACACAATAAATACTCTGCTGCTCTCATCCACCTTCTTTAACCGGATATAACACAGCCAAGTGCATGCCTGGTTGTGCAGTAGCCTCAACTCCTAGCTGGGTTAGCTTAGCTTCCTGCTCGTTCCGGCGGGTCAGGGTGTTTGTTCTGATGGCTGTGCAGTTAACAGTGACACACACACACACACACACACACACACACACACACACACACACACACACACTGCTTCGTTCCTGCGCGTGGACCCAGGCGTGTGAGCGTGAGGTGGGAGGCCCCGTGCTGCTGTCCGTAGTCATCTGTCAGACACACAGACGGCGCTCCGCTCACTGATCAATCACAGTCGGCTCTCTTCAGGCTGCTGGCGTAACATTTGGAGTGAAACTATTTACGCTTGTTTACGAAGCAGAACCATGTGATGAATGGCAACTTCAGAATCCGCTTCCTACCAAGCAGGTTTTCACTTGTGAGGAATTTGCCTGTGAGTTTGGTGAATCCAATCAGCATAATAAGAGATTATTAGAATAAGAGCAAGCACTGCAACATTATAGGAAAATGAATAGAAAAGAGAAATGAGAGAAAGGATTCATTGTAAATAAATAGAAAGTATGAGTGGAATATGTATAATGTAATCTTAATAATATGTGCAGCATGCCAAAAATAAATGCATTATGTATATGTATAGTTTGGATTCTGTCCCGTGTTAAGTGTTAAAAACCCACCACTTCAGTCAACATGGCGATCTACCAGTTATCTGCTTTCCCTCTGAAATACAATCAAACCACCTCCTATCATCATAGATCATAAGCTGCCCTGTGTATAAATAACTTAATAAGCACACAGTACTTATGTGCTATGATAGAACGCTAGAGCCCCCCTTCGAGTCATTTGAGGATTATAAACAATTATCTTGACACCGAAACCTGCTGTGTGTTTGTTATCGTGGTCGTCCATAACACGCTGTGTCTTCAGGGTGTGGGGACGACGCGGAGGTGGAGTGCTGACGTAGTAATCTAGGTTTCAGTCCAGGCTGGGGGACTTTACCTAGTGACTAAACAGTGAAACTGCTGGGTGCATAAGGCCCAAAAGACTTACATCATTTTCAAAACCTTCCATTACAGACGCTGGAATAACCCTCACATACGTCATTAGCTCCCAAAGATGATGCTGGTGCCGTTTGGCCCCATGGATGATCAAAAGATCTCCTTCCTGTTGTAGATGCCGCTCCTACGAGGACTGCTGTGGGACCCGCTGCTGTGTGAGGGCGCTGTCCATCCAGAGACTGTGGTACTTCTGGTGAGTCCCAGGGAGACGCTACATTCCACCCCTCCCTCCGTCCTCTCCCTGCTCCCGCTGCAGCACCACGTTTCCATGACGATGTTGGGTTAGTGGAAGGTGCGATGAGGCCTCTGTTTCCCCTCTCAGGGTGCTGCTAATGATGGGGGTGCTGTTCTGCTGCGGGGCCGGCTTCTTTGTCCGAAGAAGGATGTATCCGTCCCCTCTGAGGGACGAGCCCGCCTTCAATGTCTCCTTCACCAGACACCCTGCAACATCCCCAGGTACAGCACACATGCACACATGCATGTGTTTCAGCACATGTGAGCGTGCCAGTCAGATCACATGACTGAGTCCCTGTTCGTCTTAAGCAGAGTGAGACATTCTGATCTGATCAGCATTGTAAATGTAAAATTATTGTACAGTTTATAAATAGTTTTCTCCTTTTCTCTCCAGTTTCCCAGCAGCCGGGCAGCATGCAGGGCTTTGGGGTCAACGGGATGACGGGTGGCGACCCGGGGGTCGCCATCGCACACCCGGCATTCACACAGCCGCCGCAGCCCGGCTCGGCCCACATGATGATGGCGGCTTACCCTCCACCTCCGTCCTACTGCAACCACCCGCCGCCGTCCTACGAACAGATATTCCAGAACGGCGACAAGAAGTAAACTCCTGCAAGGAGACGCAAGTGTAGATGTAAGACTTGTTCTGTGGAACGAGACGGAAGAGGCACCGTAACCAGAATCTAGTGCACACACACACACACACACACACACACACACACACACACTTTTTGAGTCACGCACACACTTCATCTGCAGTGCTGCGTTTCCTCCTGATCCACATGGATCTGTACAGTGGTGAGCGAGGATGCTCCCGTTCAGGTTTTGGATTCACCCACCGTCACCGGTTCTTCTCCACCTCCCAACGAGCAGCTCCACCTGTACACGAGTGAACAGAAACTATGTATGTACCAGAAAGCTCTTCATTAAAAGTGTTTTAACTCAAAAAGTCACACACGTTATTATATCGTTATCCTGTTTCAAGCGGCGGCCTCTCACTGCGAGATGGGCCCTTTACTAAATGATGACTTCTTGATACATTTTTTATTGCCTGCTTGTGCTGTTAGCGGCAGAAAGGAGAGGAATCAGACAAGGGCGGCGTGACGCTGAGCGGGGGGGGGCAGTCGATCTTCGCTATATGCCCCCCCAACGTGCTGGAAGGCCCCGCCCCCTTAAGCCAGCTGTTGCTGATGTGATCAGCCCATGGATTCATGCTACCGATGTTATTCTGAGCAGTGCTGCCCTAAAATAGCTTCCTGCCCTTCCTAACCCAGATTGAAGGACGACCCCCTCCGCCACATTTAATCTCTAAAACTAAAGGACAGTTGAGAGGCTGCAGTCAATAGTCCACCTCTTTTGTTTCATTGAAGGAGATGGGGTCCCCTGGTATACAGAGTGGTGCTTCAGGAGCCCCTCTGACGGACTGCGGGTACCTGCAGCCAGCTGCTGGTGTTTAGAGCTCCACCTCCAGCAGTTTACCAACCAGCCCCGTTAGTGAGGCCACGATGAGTCCAAACGACCCCCCAGTTCCACCATCAGAGAGCTGCTTTGGTTGTGTTTGGATGAGCTAATCTGATTAGCTCATTTCAATGTTCATATGTAGATGTTATTGCTTGTGAAGGAGGCTTTGCAGCATGTTAACACTTACTGTCGTCAGAATTGCTAATATGAGGACTGTTCTCTGAAGCCCATGTGACTAAACAACAGTCCTGAACCCGAGATAGTGAGTCAACCGTATCTCCGAAGCAGACGCGGGAACAAAGTGTTTGTTGGCCTTGTTTCTTGAAAAAAAAAGAATTATTTAGTGCCAATCAACAGATTGAGCGCTATTGTTGTGTATAGAAAGAGTTCTGTGCTGCCACTGTGTGTGTCTCCTCTGCAGCTGTATGACGTTACGGCAGGAACCAGAAGCACAGAGCAGGTGTTCTGCACACCGAACCCACAGACGCGCACAGATTATTCAAAAGGTCTCTAACAGTAAAGAAAACGCACATCTGCATAGCCTGCATGTCGGTCCTGCTGCACGGACGGGCCGCGTATACAGATGTGTGATTAACACGTGGGGTAAGTGGGGGCCTCTGGTCTCCGTTCGTCTGCTCCGGCTGTGACGTCCATGTTGCCCGGTGATGGTCCTGCGTCGGAGCTGTGAGCTCCTCTGAAGCATGTCTCATCTCTCCATCAATGGAACTCCAGACAGCATGCCTTTGTTTGGCCACATGACCATGGATGGGCTCCACTTGATGTTTGGCTTCTGCAGCAACAAACATCTGAGGTATATCTCAGATAAATACCGCATTAGTTCTCACCGTGACAGAACGCTGCCGGTTTCTGCTTGGGGAGATGAAACCTTGATGCAGACATTTTTTTTCTTCTTTTTAATATCTAAGAAAATCTTAGGAAAAGCGACTCACCTGAAAGATGAAATGAACCCAGGCTGAGGAGAAGAAACCCGCGTTGTTTCTGATTGGAAGACGTGTGTGTTTTTTCCACTTTGCTGGTTAGAGATGCATCAACCCAAATAGCCAAGTGAGGAAAGCTAAACTCACGCTATTTATTAATAATCATAATCTTGGTTGTTGGGCAGCACGGTGGTTAGCACTGTCGCCTCACAGTAAGAAGGTCCTAGGTTCGATTCCGCCCAGTGGCCTTTCTGTGTGGAGTCCTCATGTTCTCCCCGTGTCTGCGTGGGTTCTCTCTGGGTACTCCGGCTTCCTCCCACAGTCCAAAGACATGCTCTGGGGATCAGGTTGATTGGGGACTTTAAATTGCCTGTAGGTGTGAATGTTTCACATGTATGTCTCTCGTCTCTCGGTAGCCCTGTGATCCAGGGTGTACCCTGTCTCTTACCTGAAGTTGGAGCAGACCCTGTGTGCAGGATAAGTGGTTTGCAGATGGATGGATCTTGATTGTTGTGCTGCTTGTGTGTCGGTGCCGTTCTCCGGGGGGGACGAGATCAATAGACGTGTTTCCTTTCACTCCATCTTGGCTTCTGGCCGAGTTCTCATCCATAAATAGTTTGGCACTGAAAGGGGCGCATTTTCTATTTTCAACAGTTTGTTGTGAGTTATTGCCCACCGGAGCTTTTTCACATATTGTCTTAGGCCCAATTCAGTGTTTATTTGTGAGTTAGTCTTTTTATGGAGTTTTATGGATCAAACAGACTTAATCGTGCCCACATGGGTGACACAGATGAGGTGACACTGTAGAAGAGCAATCACAGGACCTTAGCGGTGCAACAGATACCCAGATGATGATGACCACATGCTGCCCATCATCATGTGGGTATCTGTTGGCACCACTAAGGTCTCTTTGGTCCATGTTGTTTCATGTTGGGTCTCTTGTGAAAACATTGTCTTCTTTTCAACTTCTGATCCTCCTCCTTTTATTTTCTGTTGCTTCAGTCACAACAAACAAAAAGCACACCACGCTGACGCATCGCACACAACATTACAATCTAATGTGCGTTTCCCCCCGTGGAGTCAGTGGTACTAATGGTGTTCAGCGGGCACACGCCTGTGTCGACTAAGCTTTCTTCCCCTTTTTCCCCATGGAAGGGTTTTTCATTTGTTGGGGAGTTCTTCCTGTGCCGATGTGTTGGTTTCGGGACAAAGGATGTCGTATGTGTACAGACTGTAAAGCCCTCTGAGGCAAATTTGTAATTTGTGATTTTTGGCTATACAAAATAAGATGAATTGAATTGAAGTGTGTGGAGGCCTCTGCCCCCCCCCCCCCCCACGAAGCCAGTGGACCTGTGCAGTAGTTTGCATATTAGAGATAGCACCATGTGAAAGGCCATCATGTGAAACTATGCAACAGCTATTGTAGAAGCATCCGGACCTTTTATCCTCGCCTTGTTAACGTCTTCTCATTGTCATTGTAAAATATGTAAATAAACGTCACTTCTGATAACTTCTGAAATGTGATCTGATGGTCATTGATTTATTGATTGGTATTGCAAAAGGTACATATTATGTACTGCAGCTCTTTCCGCCCTGCAGCACGCTGTAAAAAATAAAGCGAAATATATTTTTACGTGGAAAAGCTGGTGAATCAATGAAAGCCTAATTAAACATAGAGGGAAAAATCAGAAGAGTTTAACGGCTACTGAAGAAGCGGATGGCAGATAAAACCTCTGATGTCACATTAATAAATAGTCCGTCTCCTTAACTGATCCTCCACGTAGAATATCGCGGAGTGCTTTTCTAGTCTTCACACCCATTCACACGTTTGGGTGTCCCGCCTAAGGACACATGGACATAGAGTAAAGCACAGGCGGGGATCGAACCGCCGATCCTCTGAATGAAGGACTGCTCTGCCGCCACGACGCAGCCCGCTTTTGTATTCCCTGTGACAATATGAGACAATCTGCATCTTATTGTGCAACTCTGCTGCAATGAAATAAGACAATAAACTAACATGGAAACCTCTGAAGCCTTTGTCTCATTCTTTTTAATGACTATTGTTTTGATATTGAATTATTGGACGCCGCGCTCACGTCCACCTTCAGGCCTCGCTTAAGGCTCCTTACGTTGAATACCCTCATTGTCTGTTCCATGCATACGGTCTTTCCAAAGTGAACTTCCGTCTTCAGGAATATATATAACCTGTATATATATATATATATATATATATATATACACATACATATATACTGCAACGTGTCAAAGGCGGTTGTACGCAAGGTTGTACTCTACGTATTAAACTAAGGATAACTTGAACAGATGAACGCGTGGTTGAAGCAGTGCAGCCATGCTTGTGTGCACTGGGCAAAAACAAATAATCATGTAGAGAAGTATGAATAATTAAATAAGAACATTTTACATAATGCTTCTCGCTTGACTTCCTGGACACATCAGACCCTCCTCACAGGAAGAAGTCATCTTTGGACAGGAGATGTGCTTCAGTAGGACGGCGTAGGGGACGTGTTCGTATCCAAGGACGGCCGCTGTGACCACAGAGCATCAGCGTACACATTTTACATTAGTCGTGGCTTTCTGAGTTGTGCATTAAGTCACTCACTATAAATGAATACTGTTAATGCTTACATTAGTTTCTTTTCATTTTTAATTCAACGTAGTGTCTGAAGGTATAAGCTTAATATAACGTGGTCTCTCATGAAGGCAATCACACTGCTTGAACATGTGACAGGAAGACTTTATTTATTCCCCAAAACCTGGTCCATTGAACATACGTAGTATGAAGAATGACGAGCAGCTACACCTACTGTTGGACAACAGGGTCACAGGAGACGGTGTCTGTCTGTCCGTCCAGTACAAAGCGCTTCGGTCTCTCAACACGTCGCATGACAAACTGCATTCAAATAACCGGCACTAAAGATACGTCCTACACGTTTACATACAAAAAGTGACCTTTTAATCACGTTAACTGAGCGTTGGGTCGTTGCTGTGAGTTTAGCTCCTGTTGTTCTGCAGGACGTCTATAAGACTCTTGTTGTACTCCGCCACTTGTTGGGAGACGTTCTTGGCCACGGAGGCAAAGTCACTCTCCTGAGACTTGGAGGCGATGACTGATCCACAGGTTAAGGGGGAAAAAATGCTGTAACCAACAGGGAGCAGCCGCACATCACATCTGGGATGTTTCATTTCAGAAGGATACACTCTTTCATTACAAAGTTGTTCTGCTCCAAGTGTTGCCACTTCCTCTCGAGGTTAGTCAGCTGGAAGAGAAGCACAGAGACAAGTCAGCAAATAAAAACATGCTTGCTTTTTAAATCAAAAGTATAATTTGACTCACTCGTCATCTATTTTTTTATTTCATTATACTTCATGTTAAAATCAAAACCATATTAAATCATGAAAAGTCAACGTCCTGCACTAAGCAGCGGCGTGCGTGTAAGCAGCTGGGACCTGAGCGTGCGTCTCGTTCTCCTGCAGCGCGGCCTTCAGAGCTTCGTATTTCTGGTTCTTCTCCTCCAGCAGCTGTCTCAGCGAGTCCCGACGGCGAGTCAGCAGGACGCGGTCCTCCTGCAGTCTCTGCAGCAGAGGAGAGCACATTTGGTAGGACGTCCTGAGCACAACGCGGCCCGCTGGTTTGAATGAATCACCACTGTTTAGATGATCCACACTGGCATCTGTTATGTGGCACACGGATGCATGCGGTGACGTTGCGCTGCTCTCGTTACCCTTTTCTTCTGCTCGGCCGTGTGTCTCAGGGCGTCCAGGTCCCGGTAGGTCACCAGCTCCGCCTCCATGGCCGTGACGCGCTCCTTCAGGGTGCTGAGCTCACCTGTGATCTTCCCCTCCAGCTGCTGCACCTTCTCCAGGTCCAGCTGAAGACGCTGGGACTCTGGGTGGGGAGGGGGGGGTAGGGGGGTTTGCATGTGAGGCTCATTAAAGGTGGTATGTGTGTGTGTGTGTGTGTGTGTGTGTGTGTGTGAGACTCACCAGTGGTCAGGCCTTTGGCCGTGCTCTTTGATTGGACCACCTCCGTCTCCTTGCTGACCAGCACCTTCTTGCATGTCCCTCAGCTCACTGTCTGTCACTGAATTCACCTGCTGAGCCGCAGCATGTTCTACAAACACACACACACACACACACACACACACACTTAGTCTACTCTGTGTCCCCTTACTATCACTCCCCCTCCTCTGGTGTTCTTCCCCCTCACTCTGCTGCAGTGCTCCAGGAGGGAGACGATGTCCTCCTGACTCTGAGTCATCCTGTCCTGCTCGTGAGCCCTGGACTCCTCGAACGACTGCAGGTACCCTGGAAGGTGCAGGAAGCCACGGAGCCACGTATTAGTACTGGCTGATGAGTCTATTCAAACAAACTGCCGACGCATTCATGCTCCTGCAGCAGGAGAGAATGCTGAGTGTGCCACCTGGTGGTCATTTACAAAAATACACTGCAAAGTCTGTTATTTATCTCATATTACATAATATTATAGTGTTATAACATGATACTGTTTTGAATTTAATATGCAGTAGATCCTTCTTCTTCTTAGGTTTGCTCATGTAAATGTTACAATTCAACTTACGGTCAATTTCCTCCTCTTTCCTCTTCAGCTCTTTGTATTTCTGCTGGCACTCCCCTGATGGACAGATTCAAAAAGCTGTCACAATAGTAAGCAAGCAATAACACAATGATTCAATACAATTATCAATGGCACTGTGTAAGACTGTATAATTAATGAACTATTTGAATGACAATAAGTTTATTACAGCAATTGTGATAATTGAGAAATATTTTCAACGGGACACAATTTAAAGGCAGAAATCTCAAACCTAAATGGTTTTAGTGTCTCAAATACCCAAATGTGCAGGTATGTCTTTCTCTTTATGTTTATAAAGATACATAAATAAAAGAAAAGTGATTGCCAATGAACATGGGATGACAGATGTGCTTTTAAAGGCATGTATGAGGAAGACGCCGTTACCCTGAGCGTCCTCAGAGTCCTGCTCCAGCTGCCGGATGTCCTCTGTGATCTGTCCCATCCTGTCCCTGATCTCTGTGAGCCTCAACACACAGAAGCAAAACAGTTTACTGTGAGGTCAAAGGTCACAGGGAGAATGGAATTATATTAATGAGTCAATGAGGTTTTATGAATATGAAAGTTCATTTGACTTAAGGAGTCATTTATAGAAAAATAACTTCATTAGGGTTCATTACTTCTACTTAAAGTAAGATTTCAATTTCAATGGACTTTTAAAATAAAATCTAAAAAGAAAAAAATAGAGTTTTAGTTTAACAACAAAGGGTACGTACTGTCTCTCCATGCTAGCGATTTCCTGGTTGTCTTCCTTCACCTGCAAACATAGATATGAGTCCAGCGTAATATCGGCCCGTTTGAGATCTCACACATGAAATACATGAAACGACTCCATTTGGCTCTTGTGCCTTCTCAGCCTGTAATATCAAAGTGGAATGTTGCCTGTAACGTTGTAGACTCGTTTGAAGACTTGTTTAATGCAGCAGCTGAAACGTCACCTGTTTGAATAACTGCTCCCTCTCGTCCTGTGGGGAGCCCCGGCTCTTGTGCTCGGCCTCCATGGCGTCTCGCTTGGCCTCCAGCGCCGACAGAGTCTCATGGAGCCGAACGACTTCCTGCTTTATGTGTGAGTGGGCCAGCTCCTGCACACGGGAGAATGCCAGGTAGCGTTATGCATTCTGATGCAAAAATACTTTATCAAATACTGAATGACCAACGAATGCAGAGATCCCTCTGGAGCCACAGTGTTCATTCTAAGGCCACGGAAACTAAATCACCCCTAGTTTCAGTCGATCACACACTAATAGACCCGACACACTGCTACTTTAAATGCCGATTAGGCTTCCTTAAAGAAAAGGACTGTGGCCTTAAATATCTCTCCTTTCTTTTGTCTGCCATGGGCAGTGACATCACTGTGGTCAAATTCATATGGACTTGAATTATTTTTTGTTAACTCTAGGGTCCAGTTCCAGCTTTTATTCCATTATTAATAAATCTCATTATTAGGGATGATTGTTATATACGGCAACCTGTGCAACAGGTGTGAATTTGATTCTTCGTGACCCCGGTGGAAACACTCCACGCACTGAGCCTGCCTCCATCAGCCCCCCATCTCTATAACCCAACTCACAGCGTCGTAGTCCTCCTTCCTGGTCATCAGGATGTCCAGCTCCTCCTGGAGAACCGTCAGCTCCTGCAGCAACACAGCAAGGAGCAGATGAAGACGGGCACCAAGTACATATGAGATACGAATCACTTATCACATTAGTACCATGTAGACTTGCTTCTACTACCACGAGCGCTTTGATGCATCACACAGACACCAACCAACGCTTTAATGCTGCAGCACAATACAGTCTATTTGATGAGGAAAGAGCAGTGCCGTGACAGCAGTGAGCGGAGCCCACATCAATACCTGCAGCAGTTCCTCATTGGCTGTTGTCATGGTGAAATACTTCTCTTGCTTTGCAGCCGGCATCGCTTGTACGACCTCATCAGCGACCCGCCTTTCCCTCCTGATCTCTTCTTCCATCGCCCGGATGGCCTCCTCTCTTCTGCGTTACAGACATGGTGTGAGGACAGGGGGGGAGGGGTGGAGGGAGGGGGGTCATGGTTAAAAGGTCCTTGGCCACATTCACGCCCACAGCAGGCGAGAGTAAGAATAAAGATCACATGAGAAGGAAGGGAGAGGTGCCAGGCGGCACTGCTTCCTTTCTGTTGTCCTTGTTTCCTTTACCCTTGAGGAGAGGGTCCTTTCCTTGATTCCCTCATTCTTACTTTCAAAGCACACGTTAGTCATTTTACAATATGACTTATTATCTTGTTTGTAATGTTAGACTTCTGTGTGTTTAGACGCTTTCAATTCACCTCAGAAAAGACTCGCGTTTTAGGACACCGTGTTTTAAATAAGACGACTAAAGGTCAGACGTCGGGGGGGGTCATTAGCTCATCGGTGTTGATTAGATGTCTCTTCCTTGAGACGAGGACGGAGACGAATGGGGGAGCAGATGTCTTTGTGCCGACACCTGGGCTGTGTTCTGCCCTTTATAAGCGATGCTGCAGTCCTCCTGCAGACTGAGACGCGGAGTTTCTTTACTTCAGTATCCCAGGACTCACGCGGAAAGAATGTAATAAAAAACTATTTCATTGGTCCCGCCACAGTTCAAAAACTTTGAAATTCATCAAAAACAATTACCAGGAATCATATTCTTTCATTGACTGTATTATAAACATTACTATATGGTGAACAAGGCCTAAGTGTTTACTTCTAACCAAGGTAGGGAGCATGAGGAAAAGAGGCAGCACTTCAGTCGGACAGAAACTGCGTGTCAGCGTTCAGCTTTACAACAGGGAACAAAGGTCGCGGCGGCGAACCGGTGAGTAACTGAGGCGGAGAGACAGAATACACGTAGCAGTACAGCAGAGGAGAGGACGACCCAGAGGTCCTATCCCCGTTTTGGCCACTTTAAATTGAATCCAACAAACAAAGCGAATGGTTTGATTTGTCGGCATAATGGGCGGGTGGGGGCAACCTGTTCTGCTGCTGTGGTGGACTTCAGTGGCAGCAACGACCATCTTAGGAACTAATGCTCAGGTGGTGGAGGACGACGCTCTGGTAGGACATTTCCTTTTCTTTCCATCATGTTTAGTGTCTAGCTGTCATTTACTCATCTGTTGTGATCAGCAGGTTCGTAACCTGACCAGCCAGCGGCTGCACGTCATTCCTGCCGGTAGTCGCGGCTCCTCCGTTACTGAACTGGTGATCGAGGCGAGCCGGATTACCCTGAGTGGGAGCGACAGACTGGCCCTGGCTAGTTATCCCAGACTGGTCGAGCTCCATCTGGACGGGAACCTGGTGAGCCGCATACCAGGCCGGTACTTCTCTGTGGCGCCACGCCTCAGAGTGCTGACTCTGTCCAGGAACAGAATCAGCAGGTAAACCCAAGAGCAAACAGGACTTCACAGACGTCTTCAAGGCGCTGTAAAGGTTGTTAGCATGTATGAGTGGGGCAGCGGCCCTGCTTCAGTAACTACTGCACGAACACTGATGCCTCCACCGGGTGTCTCTGCAGCCTGCACCCAGACTCTTTCTCTGGCCTCGATGCCCTGACCGAGCTGGACCTGTCCCACAACCTGCTGACGGGTGTCCATCCGCAGCTGTTCAGGCCGCTCACTAATCTGCAGGTAAACCCCCCGGAGTCAATACATTATTAGATTATATATTCGGGAGCCGAGCAGCAAGTGTTAGTCCATTCAACTGAATGTCCTGGTGTTATTAGGTGCTGAAACTACAAGGAAACCCCTGGAACTGCTCCTGCGTGCTGCTGAGCGGCATCGGAGAGGTCCAAGCAGCCGGACTGACCGTCGGTAAACAAATCCTTTATGCAGTTTTAGAGGTTTTTAGGATTACAACCGGCACGTGACCCTCGGCCACTCTGATCTGAGAACAGTGATCACCTCCTCTCACTGATCCAATGTAGAACATGAATTACAATCTATGTGACACAACACATTGTACCTTATGTTCATCTTACAGCATTTTAAGATGCAGATTTTAGCTGCGTCCACACGACATCTCTATTGACACCTATTCCACCAGTATTAGTGGGTACACAAGGGGTTCTTTAAATGTGGGTCAGCTCCTTAGAAGATGCCAGTATACGAGGGGCCTCTCGTTTTATATTCAATGTCAGGAACGCAATGAGAAAACTGCAGTGGCCACGGTGCTTATTCAAACGGATGTATCACTGATGCCAGTTGGCAATAAGGTCTTGTATCTGTGTGACTCTACAGGGGGGACACAGACCACCTGCGCCTCCCCAGAAAAGCAGGCTGGAAGAGATCTCCTGCAGGCTGCCGCTGCGTGTTACCAGTCACCGCGATCCGTCCGGGACACGGAGCCGCAGAAACCCGTCAACTCTAAGAAGTCTCTGGCCTCGTCCACTACGCCGCAGACCACATGGACGTCGAGCCAGACACACAACACCGACAAAGGTACGTCAGAGAGAGGCGGGTCACCAGGCCGATGGTCCTTCTGTCCAAACGCAGCATAACGACTGGTTTCCCTTCCCCGTCTCCTCCCTACACACCCCACTAGTCCAGACCCCCGTGCTCGGCAACACGTGGAAGTTCGCGGCATGCGTTGCGGCGCTGGCACTGAGCACCTCCGTGCTCATCGTGTGTGCTGTAAAGGGGCCCTCCTTGTACAAGCTCTTCCACAACTACCGCCATCGCCGGCTGCACCAAGAGGAGGACGACGCTGTGCCAACAGTCTTCTCAGAGACAGAGAGACACCTGAACCGCCAGACATTCACCTTCCAACACGAGGACGGGCAGATGGAGATGGAGGAGGAGGAGGAGGATGGGTATTTTGAGGATCCATACATCAAGCGCGAAGAGTGACCTGCATGAGAGGAGACTTCGGCAGAGCCGCGGAGAGGAAGACGGCAGCTGGTGAACCAGACGAGGACGCAACCATCCCAAGACACACAAACCCAGAATGAGATTTTTTATAGATGGAATAGGTTCAGTGTAGGATTTAAATATGTATTCTGAGGGACACTGAAACGTGGGCCTGTGGCTCCTACTGGTATAAAGTGTTGTGCTTTTTCTACTGAAACCATCACATTGTAGCTCTGCTCAACCAAAGCTTTGTTTACAACCTCGCTCGGCAACACGGGTCTCCGAGCAACGGAGGCGTTTACGCTGTACGAGCTGCATCGGTATGCCAAGAGACAAAGTGAACAACGAGTGTAGCTCACAGAAACAAACAAGGAGTCACCAGCAGAAAGAGTTCCCCCAAATATCTGTCACATCTCATATTCATGCTCTACTTTACAGCCTTCATTCATCCCTGAAAAGCAGCAAGGCAAGAATCACATGTCTTTGAAAGAAACACAGAATAAATAAATATGCTTCTAACCCAGTTTAAAGAGCATTTTCAAATCAATTGACCTTCTCTAACTATTTGCTTCATGATGCAGTTACAAAGGGTTGAAGATGCACCACCAGGCGTCACGCAGGCCAGGACGAACTAAGCTTAACAAGTCTAATGCGTGACTGATAAATACATGCAAGGGCCATACTCTGACTGACATGATGCTGTGGGCCTCAGCTCCACTCTTCAGAAGGAGGTTTACGAGGATAAAAGCCAGCGATTCTTTACCTTTGTTTGTTTGTGCAATGTGACTCAAAGCCACTCAAGATTACCGTGTCCTGATTGGCTGAGTGGTGCAACCTTCTGTAGATCAACTACATGTCATCAATAAATCATCCATGACAAGAATGAAACTACCTAAGAGCCTTTTCTACGCTTTCAGCTGATTTCAATAATAAGACGTGCGTCCACAAAGACTATTCCTATTAAGCGGTTTGGATGGGAATGAAGTGTTGTTGAGAACACTGTGCGATGACATCATCTACCAGAATACTTACTCCCTCCTCTCAGTGAAGATGCTGTCGATGCTTTTGGCCTCGCTGTCATTGTGGGCTTTGATCTGGGGGGCAGAGAGGGAGGAAGGAAGGAACGGAACTCTCATTAGGTGTAAAAACAAGGAAAAGTCTTTTGGCTTTGTGAATCCTCTCCAGCACGTCGTTAGCATGTCGCCTAGGTGGTGTACTCACAGCGTTGTAGTCGTTGATCATTTCCTCCATCTCTGTGTTGGTGTTGAGCTTGTCCACCAGCTGTAAACACAAACACAAGATGTTGAAACAATGAAGCAACATTTCGATGGGGTTTGTTGAAATAAGCAGCGTAAACTTTTACTAAATATGAAAATCAAAGTACACAGCTCATATTCAAACGATGTTTCTTTGACATACACACTAACTTAACAACTATAAACAAGCATTTACCATTATTGACCCGCATATCGGGGATGTATGAGCTACTGAAAAGGATCAGAGACACTGGCTGAGACCTTCCTACTTCACAGACATTTACCATGTTGTAGTCAGCCAGCTGGCCTTGAAGATCCTTGATCTCTAAAGCCAGACCTTCAGCCCTAAAGGGGGAAACGAGCTGTTAGTTTGCGTACGTTTGGTTTCACGCTGTAGTGCGAATGTGTGCATTGTGTGATCTGTGGAATGAAGTAGATCCGAATAAAATCCACTTACCTCCTCTCGTAGGAGAGATACACAGAATTCTCCTGATTGAAGTTGTCAATCTCTTTGAGCAGCTTACTGGTTTCTGTGGTTAACTCATTGATCTTACTCCTGGCAGCACAACAACAACAAAAACATGCACTTTGAAATGGTAAAATGGACGCGGGTGTGCCGGCAGGCTGTAACTATGCTGCCCTGCTGGAAGCACTCGCAGCATAGTGTAAGGAAGTAATAGCAGCATGTGTTACCTAAGAAGGCCCAAGTAGTACGACTTATCCAGAATCTGTCTCTGAGGTCCTGGGGGGGTGGAAAGAGGAAGGTTGGCTCAAAGGCTGCCCTCACATAAAACCATAAAAATACAAATCTATCTTTTAAGAAAAGAGCCAGCCGACATCACTTCCCACTAACCTTTCACGCCAGTCTTCATGCCGCTGAGCCCCTGTTGGGTGACAGGCCTGTCAGTCACTTTGATCTGTGCTGAGAGAACTCCAGGGGTGGCCATTGGGATGCCGCCCCTCATACCAGGATGACCGCTTGTACCCGGAACCATCTGGATGGAGATTGAGAAAGAAAGCTAGTGTTAAAAGTTACAAATGGCGTCCTCTCCAAAGTCACAGCAGAGAGCTTTTAAAAAGTCAGCCAGTCATAATTGAGATGCGGAGTTCCACGTTGATGAACATTGAAAAATTGATGAATGTGACCATGTAATCACTGGATATTGTTGTGCAAAAGAGGAGAATGAAGCTGCTCGTTTGTGGTGTGCAAAGGTTAATGTAATGTACTATACATGAAACCATACAGAACTCCACCCGTATCATGGTTTTGTAGGCAATGATTAAAAAGTAAAAAAAGTTCATCCAAATAACTATTTAAAAAAATCTGTTTGACAAAAAGATAAATATATAAATATCTAGATTGATGCCTTGGATATTTTATTAATCCTGCAAGTGGGACATGTTTTTCTAGAACAGCATTTACAGGGAAAGCAATAGTACAACATATAAAAATATATACAAAAATAGAATAATGTAGTTAAATGAGCCTAACTAAACAATAATGCAGCGATTTAATCAAACAATCAAACAAACAAACAGCGTAAAGGTGGGATTTATTGTAGGGGGGGGGGGGGGGGGCGGTGGTCCTGGTCATCAGTAGGAGGGGGGGGTGGTCCTGGTTACCCACTATGGATATTCATTTCCTCGAGTTTTACACAAATGATAAAATCATATCCACTTTGTTAAAATGAACTTATTGTTTTGTGCTCAGCGAGCTAAGACTCATTACATGCATTAGAGGCCAGGGCACTGCATTTGGGCCTTTTACACATTTCCTCGTGTAGTTCGTCTGGTCCTGTGGCTTCATATAAGTTCTCACTATACTCGCACAAACAGCACTTGCATGTCAAAGCTGTAGCTGACTTACCCCAGTGGCGACACGGATGGCTGTAGGAGGAGGTCGAATGGCGGTTGGGGGTCTTCCGGGGCCCGGGACCACAGATCCACTGCGGCTCAATGGGCGGCCAATGCCGGAGGGGGGCCGCTGACTCGCCATGATGCCTAAATCCAGTCCACGCATATATACAGTTAACAGTAACAGATCAGATATGTGTTGCTGATGTTTGTGACGTTGCTCGGTGAGATGACCCATGTTTCACATTGGGTCTCAGTTTTTATATGGCAGGAACGTGGCTGCACGTCCCTGGCACTATGTATAAAAAGTTGTGAACCAAAGACCGTCAAACAGAAAAATGCACCAGCGATGGGAAAGACAAGCTTAGTGAGGTCTGTCAATGGGATGCTATCTGGTAACGTTATATTTTTCTTTTCTTTGAAAGTATCTAATGCGCTCTACGTTAAAACACACACATCCAAAGAACAAGTGCTGGCTCGGTGAGCATTAGAAGTGACGTCAGCCGCGGTGCTGTTGGTTGTGACTGCAGTGTGACGCTATTGACTTCATGTCGGTTCGATAATTAACGGCGTGGCGTTAGCTCATTGACGCTAATGTTACGGAAAAGTTAGTTATATGTACAGAATATTGCACCGTGAACTAACGTTAGAGCTAAACGTAGGTGCACGCTAACCATTAACATTAGTCAAAGCTAAGCTACCGTTAGCTCGTAGCCACGGAATAGCATACGTGAGCGAATGAGCGTTTCATGCCTTAAACTGAACTCCTTCTTGGTCGTTTTTCTTCCACGACAGCGTCTTTCTAGATGTCCACCCGGAAGAGGCTTCTTCGTTGGCAACTTTACGTAGGAAAATTGGGAAAATGTAATCTAACGGTAAAAGTCAAAACGCTAACTAACGTTAGCTAGAAAGCCAGCATCCAGAGATGATATTGACGTTACCACGGTAACGATCTTCTTCTTCGCAATGAAAGCAGGCTGACAGCTCGTGGAAAAGTGCGCTGCTGCCCCACAACGTCCAGCAGGGGAACTACAGGCAGACCGATATGATAATGACAGGTGGAGCAATTATAGTGTTTTAAAACTATAAAGTTTTAGGATACTTGTCAAAACTAAGGAGGTTGTAAAAAAAAGTTGAAGACAACAAAGGATTTACTGAAAAAAGGAAATGCCAGCAGGAATCAGGAACATTTTCATGCCAAAATATGTTAGACATACAAGGAATTTGACATGGCGGTTGCAGCAAAATATAGCCGGAGGGTTTTATTCATCTATGTATGCCTCTCCAGAAAGATGCTGATAAGTTCACATGGTAACAGAAAGTGACGACTATTGCGGTTTCTGCTGGAGGGAGGAACGTGTCGTCCTGAAGATGGCTGCTGTGTTTGATAAAAATATATGTTATTACATACCCAGGCTCCAGGTAAATGCTCAATCCCAATGTCCCACCTAACCCTTCAAACTGATGTCACCTGGTAAACGGTAAGTGTCAGATTCAAAAGGACACACACTCCGATAACAGAGATAAAGCATCCAGACCTAAAACAGCTTTTTTCTTTTGAAATAGTCCAAAACACAATACGATCGAACACAAGTGAGAGTTTTAGTCCATTTTTATTTCATGTTCAACAATCACATCACTAATTAACAAGTAATCACAATAAACAACTTTTTTTCCAAACCCCCAAAAAATGATTAAAATGAAGAAAAAAACCAAACACAAAATAACATTGAGGTTCTGCAAATGACAAAGTAAGTCTACCTAACACATCCCGGGGTTGTTCCTCAGCATGCTCTGGTTGTTAGTGGGTGGAGCTCTTGCATGGGTGCAGCAGCAGATGAAGCTCTACAGCAAGGAGCAGTTATTACACGAGCCAAACCTGACTAGTACGGTCAGTTAACCTCACACACACACACAATCTTGGGGCAGGTCGCCAACATGTTCGATATGCACTACTCCCAAAGTAACACGCCTACACAGGCCTCCCCGCTGCAGGACATTCCCTTTGCCCACGTGGCGTACGGTGTGTGTCAGCTGCATCAGCTCGCCTACCAGGCAGTCCCAACCGTACTCTCACGTCTTAAGACGAGGCTTCACACTGTCAAAAATGTAAGCTCTACTTTTGCCAGTTTAACATTTCCAAATGGATCTGCCGTTGCAGCGATTTAAATAAAATCCGGTTTTAGCGACTTTGTGAGCATTGGGCTCCAAAATCCAAGTATCGTCCGTCCAACCGTGAGAGAACACAACGATAAATACATATACAAAAGTGTCGCGTCTTGAGTACGTTATATCTCAAATGACATTCTTTCACTTTAGGGGCCCTTTTTACCAATGTCTTCATAATGATTAGAATAATAATTTGCAGTAAAAACACCTCCTCCCAGTAGAATCGTTAAAAGGTGCAAGGACATAAAACCTGACGCTGCAGCTGCTGCACCGCCTTTTGTTCATTTTCTAACCCTGACAATAGAATGTGGATGTACATCCGCGTGCAATCTCATGAGCAGTGGTGAGTAGAACCTGTCGAGGAGGAGCGAAGCTGCAACGCGGTCGTGGACAGGCACGAGGAGATAATGTAGCTAAGCCACAGCCGTGGCACTAACCGAGAGATCCAACTATCCGATGACAGCGGCACCTTTCACATCACTTGATGGTCACCGGGGAGAGAAGGCCCTCCAACATCTGCATGTGAACCATTCACACTTTCAAAAGACGTGAGTTTATTGCCTATTTTCTCAGTATCATTTTTTCCTGACACATACAATTTTAAATGATTCCAATAGAAAACAAAATCATGACTGGGTTTGAATCAAACTGATTGAATAGTAAGGAGGGCACTGAAGTTCAGTTTATTGCTCTATTCAGTCATCACGCAAAATGTCATTCACCACGAAGCTACCTGTTCAAAAGGCATTCGGACGTCTGATCCGACAGCGACGCTGCGCACAGTGAGCCTCTTTCACGGGTTAAAGCATCAACTCAAAGTGACACTCGGGAGGGTTTCAGGTCGTCCATAAGGGGGGCGGAGGGTTGTCTTCAAACTGAATGGTACAGTGTTTGCCATCATCCAACCAAGTCTGGGAGTCATTTTGGGCTTCCTCTTTCAGTCCATGTGTGTAATAACTAGTTAACGCCTAGATAATACAATTTGATTGATTGGATACAAGTCAAACCCAAAACTGGCAATAAATGTTAATGCTTCATAACCTTCTTTACTTCTATCAAAACCTTTTCAGAATCTCAGATTCCAGTGTTCTAGGAACCAAACATTTGATAACTTCTAACTAATGCATCTGATTCGAGGGGCCAATGACGGAGCCTCAGAGAGCAGCTCCTCTCAGCGCTTTGTTTTGGTTTCACACTGTTTTTGGTTGAGATGTTGCAGGCAGAACAAAAGTGCTGCCAAGCACCAGACAGCTGACGGACAGAGAGCCGCACATTACAGCCTACATTCACAATGTGGCACAGCGAGACGGATGAGATTCCAGATGATACGCAGCCCTTTTTCAAATGCAGTGATGGCTGACAAATGCCGTGAAGCCAGTGGGAGGCAGCCGCTGAATACGAGTATGAAGCCACATCAGGTTTCACTGCCGATCCTCCAACAACAACAGAGTGCTCGAGATGTTTCTGTATCCCGCTAACGCCAAACAACATGCTACCACAACCCCCGCAGGGACACCAACAGCCACGCCCCCAGACGTGATCGGCTTCCGGCGGCGTCCTCGTCTACTGAAGGGATTTTCAGGGACGGAGGACGGGAGACACATACGAGACACGCAGCTCTTTGGAGACGCTCGGACATCTTCCTGCATGCTCAGTTCAAGCATCTCTACGCCGGCGCACTTCCTGTGTGTTGGGCCTCTGGCGTCCTCCCTCCCTGTAAACGTCCTCGCCGCGTGTTTTGGTTCATGAAAAACATGTGCGTGATTTTCTGAGTGCTGTCTGAGATTAAAAAGACGGCCCACTGCGTTGCCGGCGCGGGACGAAGCGTACGATAAATAAATAAAACCTAGCTTTAAAAATCATCCAACGAGGAGGAGGAGGGAAACGCAAGAGAGGCAGAAATAAGATCCCAACGGAACACCAAAGCTTGTTTTTACACTAACACACCACCACGACACTGAGAATAGAGAGTTAAACAGTGGTTCAAACAGCCTACTTGCTGTCTAGCTTCTTTTTTTGTGGTTTGTCAGCTTGTTTACGGGGAGGGATGTCGACGGGCGAGATGCACGATGAATTACTGCGGTTATAAGCGGTCATCGGGGAACAAGCAGCCCCAGTGGTCACGAGGAAAACAGAAGCAGCGCTCATTGGTGTGTGTCGGGGGTGCAATTGTGCGAGCGGGGGGGAGGGGAGTCAGTTTAGGCCGAGGGGTTCCCACTGATTACAGGTCAGCCGGTTAGGAGGAGACGCAACAAAAGATGTGACATAAAACCTTTCACTCCACATAGATTCCCACACTCTAGCCAAGTATTGAGGGGGGGGGGGGTCATCAATAGCACAGGAGGATGAGCCTGGATGTGAGGGAGGAGGCAACATGAAGTCGATACTGGAACGTTCAAAAACAGAGTGAAGGTGAAAGGAGTTCTCAGGGCTCTACCAGGGAGGGGGGAGAAAGGTCCCTTTAAGGAGCTGCTGCCCCCCCCCTACACCCCCTCCCTTGAGTTGAGGAGGCAGAGGGGAAGCCCACGGAAGCGAGTCCATTCACTGAGGAAGACTCAGCCGGTGGGTCGTGATGGTGGGAGGAGATGTGTGGGCGGGGCCTGTTGTCGTCATCGTTGCGAGGGGATGGGGTGGGGGAGGGGCGGCCGGGTGAGGATGTCGGCGGCGTGGTCCGTGCGAGAGCAGCATTCTCGCGGAAGTTGAGCTTGAAACACTCAATCTGCGGCAGAAAGGTTGGAGGAAAAAAGAAGAAGAGGTGGGAGAGAGAGAAGGGAAAAAACACAGGCAGGATCGGCCGGGGGGGGTAATTTTATGGAGGAGGCCAGGGGGGGGGATGAGGAGGGCAGAGCAGGGGATGAGGAGGGCAGAGGGGTAGTAGAATTAGATGCCTGCAAGATAAGAAGTCAGGAGATGACTGTATGATCAGGAGCTTGCAGGGTGAACACACACACAAACACAAGGAGACAAATGCACACTATTACACAGCATGCAAGATTCAGGTGCTCCCCGACCACAGGACGTCGCTGGGCATCACCTGCCCAAGCGCTTCATCCCTCCGTGGGAATCCCGTGGGCCTGGCACGCACACACACACACAGACACACACACACACGCAGAAAACAACTCACTTGTCTCCGGGATGCGTGAGTCCAGAGCTTGAGGCTCCTGGAGGCCCTCGCTGTCAGCGCGAGCACCCTCCTTCAGCCCGTTCTCCTGGGTGCCGGGGCCCCCCGCGCAGCCCGGCTCCGGGGGCCGCTCAGCCTACAAACACACAGCAGTGAAGCCCTCTTGAGTTCTCATAGAAGGGATGTTATTGCAGCGTCTGTGCCGGCCTCACGAGCTGTATTTGATCCACATCTCTAGTGTGTGTGTGTGTGTGTCTGTGTGTGTGTGTGTGTGTGTGCGGTGACGTGGAGCTCCTTGATGTGTTTTTAATAGATGGGTTCGGTCTTTTCATAGAGTTGAACACAGAGAAATATAGACTATTGACAGCCTTAGTTAATAAAAAATTGAAAAACAAAGCACCTCTGCTGAAGATAAAAGAGGCTACATTTCACAGCTGCACACATTTGAACCTTCAGCAACTCAACTTAACATAATTTCTAAAAACAGACTTCAGTTATCAAAACGCGCCCTCAGACGAGTCATCGTCTGCTGCTGCAAAATTATTTTTTGGTGTGCCTGTAAGAGGAGCATGAGATCGTGCAGATGAGGAGGGACGAGCCGCCATTGCCTGAGGGGACATTGATTCTGATCAATTTGCCCCAAACATATCTCCTATTGCCAAAATTGGCAACTATCATTTCACCAGCCTGTCCCTGCATGCCAAGCTCGGTCTCTCTCAATGTGCAGGACGGAGCTGAGGAGACTCGTTCCCCCGCGGAAATGCGGGGGAGGGGGGGGGGGGCATCCGCACAATTGCACAGCAGCCGGACAGAAGGTCAGGGGAAAGTGAACCGGTTGCTGGTGCAAAGGCTTTAAGCGGGTTCAGGTTGACAGCCTGTCAGCCTCATAAGTGATGGCAGCTTGAAGCCCCGCCCACCCCACAGACATCTTCCAGAAGACAAACACAGAGGCGGCGCTAGAAGAGCCCTAAAAACCTGAGACCTCCCAAGCCATAGATGATGGGTTGGTCTTTCTCAGGTAATTACTTGAAGAACACCTTAAGAGCAGAACTCAGGGACCTTTTCACTGGTTCCTAAAGTGTTCTTAGTCAGGAAGGTCTGATACCTCAGAGAGAATACCTGGTGGCTTTATTCCGGGCAGGAGGCCACACTTCCTTCACAGCAACATACAGGGTCAGGGTTTGGCCAGTCGGTTGTGATTTGTCGGCTCATGAAAATAAAAGTGCTGATCTCACCTCGACGTGTCCTGCTGCGGGGGAAGGGCTCAAGGTGTCCGAGGAGTCCCCTTTGGACTGAGCCTTTTCCCTGAAGCTCACTTTGTGGGACTCGAGCTTCACGACGCCGCCGCCTGCAGCACACACGGATCACTGGTCATCACACACGCGTCACGCATGGACACGAACATCATCTTAAACATTAATGATAAAGTGATAGCGACATGCAGACGGCTGCCAAGACAAAAAGCAATATGCATTGATATTATTTAACGCTTACACTGAGGTAAATATCTTTACAAACATCAGTCTCAATCACCACCGCATATTCAGACCTTTAAACCTTTAAATGCCCGTTTGTTCACTTCATGCCACTGTATCCTAAATGGTAGATTCTATTTCACAATATGGGATATTGGTTATGTGGATTTTGATGATTCTTTGTGCAGGAAATAAGTCAATATGCATGGATTTTCTCCACATCTTTTTAGGGGTGTCAGTATTTTGGAAACGTTGTATTACGCTGCACTAATTCTGTCGAGCTGTATCCAATAAACTACAACTCAGTGAGCATGGACACAGCGGGGTCCAGCAGCTCTTCAGCAGCGTGCATGTAATGATTACAAGCTCACCGGGCTTGTGCTTGATGTTGTCCTTGGATCCGCACTTGGATGTCACTTTACTCAGGTCCACCTTCTTGTTGAGGATCTGCACCTGTTGAATGCCACACAACCCTTTTTAACACAAATCACTAGAGCATTATGCAGAGACTGGGTCCCCCTGGTCGCTTAAGGGCCATTTCTTTTTCAGCTCGATTCACACATCAGGATAAATTGCATATCTGTTTGAGATACAACGCTGTGGTTGCTTCCACATTGAAAGATTCCTTTTCTGAGAAGACGCTGAGGACAGGACGCCGTCATTTCAACAAGAGCCTCTCTCCTCACAGAGCCAGAGGGTCAGAAAGCCGAGACGCAGACGATCGTTGTCATTTGATCAGTGAGTTAGTGACGGCGCAGGACAACACGAGGACAGTTTAAGGAAGTGAGGGAGGCGGGTTGTGAGGGAGTGGCTGCTACATCAGGCTTACTAGCATGCTGTCCAATGATTCCCCTCCAGAGCAGGACCAGTGCTGGAGTCTGCAAGCAGCTACCTGTACTGCCACTACTGTACAACTGGCAATTTAGCAGCAGAAGAGCTGAGTATTTACGATATCTTCTTTTCCGTGGCTCCTTTAAGCCAGGTTGGATGCTGCTAGGCCGGCCGGTACTTACATTCCCTCCACCAGGAACGTGCTTCAAATTGTCCTTGGAGCCCAAGCGCGAGGAGACGTGGCTGAAGTCCAGCTTTTTGGAGACTATCTGAACCTATACGGACACAGCATGGCAGCGAGAGGGAGGAGGAGAGCAGGCGAAAGCCGGGGGATGGCACGAAGAGGAGGTGGAGGCAAAGAAAAGAGGATGAGAGGAAGAGAGAAGAGAAGGGGAGAAGAAGCGTTACGGGCAGGGTTAGAAAGGAAAGGAAGGGACGGGAGGATGGGCCGAGGTTTACCTTCCCAAACACGACTAATTTTGGACCTGTAGGTGCGCTTGAAATCAACTGCTGGGCAGTGAAGCGGTCTGAGAAGTGACTCGCGTTGCCATTTGAATAGCGACAGTAACACAAATCCAAACGGACTAAAAGATGCATAATGTTGTTTGAATAAAGTCTTGCAAAAAGGCAAGCAGAAGCTTCTGAACGCAACACAAAACACTTAAAACCCTCTGGAGCCCAAGCAGTTTGGGGAGATTTTCTTTCTGTTTGTTACATTTTATTGCACTGGGAAGCTTTAATATTTTATGACTTTCAGAATAAAACGTTTTAGATGAATATCACAGTTTCCATTGCCTTTACTGACAAAAGAGCTCAATGATGTGTTCAAGGACCGGAAGGACAAAACCCAACGATAGTGACGGTGTCTTTGTCTTCTGGCTCTGTTGAACAGTGTAGTTTAGTGATTGTTGATAGGAAACATGTCTTGGGTTTCAGAGGGTCAAAGAGTACACGCATGCAAACAGAGTGGAGTAGAATCCACAGCACGTCATTAATGCCGACTGTAAGACGGACAAAGGTTAGACTGTGAGACGCTGGAGACCAAACGAGCTTTCACTTGTGTTATGAGATGACTGCGTCTCAACTCGATATAACCACTAGGAGGCGCTGGGTTCGAAAGCGCAGCATACTGCTGCAGGAAACATTTGCTGCATTTACGAAAGGAACAACGGGGGATTTAGGCCACTGAGCGCTGATGGAAGGCCACATTGTGGATAGGCGCCTTCTAAGGAAAACAAAATAGCTGCGAAAGGAAAAAACACAGAAAACACTCCATTTCTACTTTTGTCTTTTGAATGCAAGCCTGCGTGACGCGCTGCACACACACATGTACGACCTGCATGATCGGATAGTGATACATTTCGTGGTCAAAGTCTTCACATTAAAAGCACATGTTGTTTTTGCTGCACACTCATCCTTCCTTTCTATTAGTAGATTTGTTGGTTACAAATCTTGTAAATTCTTCAAAATAAAAGTTTTTTTATTTTGTTATTTAAAAGCTTTTATTTCCAAGCAGAAAAATCTAAAAATATTTGTCATGGCCAATTGAATTATAACTGCAGGCTTTGTTGGATCTGACAGTTTGTATCACCTGGAACCATCGGAGGACAAAAGTCAGACTGAAAAGACAAATGCCGATGATGGTTTGAACCCTCTGGTGTTCAGAAGTCAGTGGCTTTTTATTTTCAATCTGCCAAGTAGCATAACTTCAAAATAAACATGAAAATGTGACAAGTGGTGAAAAAAAGTGGGAGGCAGAGATTCAAAGGAGGGAAGTGGAGCGTGTGGTGATGGGGGGGAGGAGGGGGAGGGGACTTACTTTGCTCTGGCTGGTCTCTTTGGAGGCGGCGCCCCTACTCAGTGAGGTGGATGACACCTGGGGAGACAAGTCCCATCCCGCGTCAGCGACAACACCACATAACAACACACCGGGAGGGGAAGAGGTGCAAAGGATGAGGCTTGAGGGTGGAGGACAAAAAAGTGGAAAGACGATGGCTGGAAGCTCAAAGAACGGGTCAGACAAGATGGAGACACCAAGCAAATTAAAACAAATGTACTGACGACCTTAGCATTATGCTACCTAGCATCTCATTTAAGCTACTTTATCTGTAGCTTGTACAGCTTGTATATATTATGGCTACGTTTTCAAAATAAGGGCATCAGAAACAAGTGCACGTGAGGAACCCACGAAAGCCAGCGTCAAAAGATCCCGTCCACTGGAAGCAAAGCCGCGGTCTGGAGGGTGGACCTACCTTCCCACCCCCGGGCTGGTGCTTCATGTTGTCCGTTGAGCCGATCTTGGAGCGGGCGTTGCGGATGTCGGGGGCCGGGGCCGCGCTGGGCCGAGCCGTGGTCCTGGAGGGGGCGGCGGATGAGGAAGCGGGCCGAGGGGTGCGGGGAACCGTGGGCTTCTTCTCCGGTGCTGCGCCGGTGGTGGAGGAGGGCGTGGCCGGTTTGGCTGCTGTGGTTCTGGTGCGAGAGGCGGCGGTGGTGGCGGTGGAAGTGGTGCTGCGGAGGGTGGGGGCGCTGGTGGCCTTGGGCTTGGAAGGGTCTGCTGAGAGTGAGTCAGAGAGACAAATACATTAAAAAAAAGTCAAAAGACAATCTTAATCAGAGCTTTCTAGTTACTGATGCAAAGCTAGATATCCATTATTATTATAGACAACGCTGGGATTAAACGTTAATAATGATAATTCTCATCCTTCTGATGACAAAGATGAAGATAGCCAAAGGAAACGTGCTGAGGACGTGTGCATTATGTATTCAGGGACCCTCTTCTCATGGACGCCAAACACAAAGGATCCCATCTGTCATCTACGGTCGACACTGACGGATAACAAAGTTCCACAAAGGACAGAAAAGAGGGAGTGAAACAGAGAGAAAGCAGGACTCAGAGGCAAAAAGAAACAGGGACACCTTCCTGCATTGTGACATCAAACCAGCCTCTGTTTGTTTGGACATGTAAAGGTCAGCATCTTAGTGACCTGGACTGAATTGTTGACACTGCTGGTGAGCACATTTCAGCACACTAAGCCGCACTGCACTTCAAGTCAGTCAATTAAAATTCTGCGTGTCAGCTTTTTGTCATCCGGAGGGCTGCATGCTGAACCGTGCGACATGCACCTCCAGCTCAAGCTAAGACGTGTTTGATTGAGAAGAATCCAGGCGCGCCTGTGGACAGCGAGGGGATGGTAATCCCCAGGATGCTGTGTGAAAGGTTTATTTAACTCTCCAGACCAATGACGCCTCTCTCTCTCTCCCTGCACAGCATTGTCATGCTCGGACAGTGCGTGCTGCAGTGTCACACTCCTGCTGACAGACCTCATGTTGCCAAAATGTAAACTAATCTGTAGCCGGGACGAGCAAAGCTGTAAATGTGAGGAAAGACAGAGAGAGAGAGAGAGAGAAAGAACTGAGGAAAAGGATTACAGGAGGGGAGTGGAGAAGACGCAGTGGATGCAGCAATCAAAAGCACAGTGGGGGGGGCAGGTGAGATTGTGGCTGCAAATATATAATATATATATAAATGTCCGTATAAAATGAATGTGGTTTTGCAACAGGAGAGCGCTGGTACCTGTAGTCCTCGGAGCACTGGGCTTCTTCTCCTCTCCTGCTTTGCTGTCCGTCTTGGGGACTGAAACACAGATGGTGAGCGGTGTAGTTGTAGAGAGTAGCGTGTGGATTAAAGGCACAGAGCTAAAAATACCCATCATCAAAAACATGTGCGTGAGTGTGTGCGCGCGCGCTTGTGTGTGTGTGTCAGCGGCTGCCATTACCCAGAGGTCTTCTGGCTGCAGCGGTGGTGGCGGTGCGAGTAGGCGCCGTTGTGCGCGCCGATGTCATGGTTTTACTGGCTGCCGTTGACGCGGTTCCATTTCTGGTGGCAGCGGTGGAGCCTGCTGGGGCGGCGGTGCTGGCCTTGGGCACAAGGGGGCGCCTCTCCGGAGTCATCTGGAGGGGAACAACAGAGCAAAAAATAGACAACGGAGTCGTCAGGTGAGGAGAGGAGGGAAAGGTTGATGGCTGACGCTGCGAATCAATGAAAAAGACGTCAACGAATAAGCGGCATATCGCCCCCCCCCCATAACCCTTATGATGGCACGCTCCTCGTATGGCTGAGCCACACTGAACTGAGTCACCCTGAGCCCTCGGGCGGCCGTTGGCTAATTAAAGACGCTGGTTTGTCAGTGGCCGCGGAGCGACGGGAGAAGGAGGCCACTGGACCCGGGTGACAGAAGGCCGACGAATCTTCTGAGAGCGCAGAGCATGAATTAGTGACATGAAGTAGTGAATAAGTCAGTAGGACGTACTGACACAATGCCAGTTTTAGAGACTTATCGCAGAGGCCTGCAGCACCGATACTGTGATATGGATCATGTGACAGTAGCCTAATTCGGCAACGTGTTACACCAATGTATAAAAGTTGACCTACAGCGCTTTTTTGGGCAGTTTCACCTTGACTGGAGACTTTAAAGTGTAAATACAGAAAAGGAAGCGAGGGAAGGGGTTGATATAACCACCAGGATGCCCAGGAAATCAAATCTTAGGATCATAGAAGCAGTATATGGAATGCGTTTTCCGCTCTATTAAATACAATAGTATAAGTAGCAGTGTTAAAACTCTGTATTTGAAATTACTAATTGTAAAGCACTCAAATAATAGTAGTTATATTTTTGGATTACAGCCCTCTGCTGCTACTCTGTCAAGCTTTCAATGACTCCACTGTCACTGCGTGGACAAGAAGAGATTTCAAAGACAAGCTGATGAAGGGTTGAAATGATCTGGATATCACTCCTGTATTAACTTCTCTGCACTGGCTCCCTGTTAAATCAAGAATAGATTTTAAGGTCCTTCTCCTCACCTACAAGGAACTTGCTGGTGAGGCACCGTCGTATCTTAAAGAGCTTGTAACACCTTATTGCCCTACAATGCAGCTGCGCTGCATAGATGCTGGGTTACTTGTTGTTCCTATGGTTTTAAAAAGTAGGCTGGGGGCCAGAGCCTTCAGTTATCAAGCTCCTCTTTTGTGGAACCAGGTTCCACTTTCAGTCCGGGGGGCAGATTCGGTCAGCTCTTTTAAAGTAAAACTTAAAACGTTCCTCTTTGATTCTGCCTATAGTTAGGGCTGGCTCAGGTTAGCCCGGACCAGCCCTTAGTTAAGCTGCTATAGGCTTAGACTGCCGGGGGAATTCTTAGGACACACCGAGCTCCTCTCTCACGCTCTCGTTCTACCATAATAAAAGTTTTATTAATGCACATAACTAATTCAGCTTCTTTCCGGGAGTTTTTTTTTGTGCTTTCTCCCCTAGCAGGTCTCCGTAGATTGTGGTTCCTTCGGGACCCTGGTCCTGACACCTGCCGTGGCCCTGCTGACACCTGCTGCTGCCATCATCATCATCATTATTATTTTAGATATTAATCATATTACTGTACTCGTAAACCAACATTACCCTCTCCTAAAGTCTCTGTGCTCTCCCTTCCCACAGGCTTCTGTGGAAGGTGGTTCTATCTGATGGTGGTTGCCCCTGCAGTGGTCCTGCTGTGCGCCTGGCTTACTACTCAGTTACTTGAATCATTTCTGTCATAGGAATTGCATGTATTATATATTGTTCATTCTGTACACATGGCATCCATTGTAGTCTGTCCATCCCGGGAGTGGGATCCCTCCTCTGACGTTCTCCCTAAGGTTTCTTCCCTTTTTTCCCTCTTGGAAGGGTTTTTAAATTTTTTGGGGAGTTTTTCCTGTGCCGATGGTGGGTTTCGGGGCAGAGGATGTTGTATGTGTACAGACTGTAAAGCCCTCTGAGGCAAATTTGTAATTTGCGATTTTGGGCTATACAAAATAAAATTGTTCAATTGAATTGAATCTGCTGGTAACTAATTATTGTAATTAATAAAACATCACCTTCAACGCATAAACCTATTGTTAAGACGGTATGGTAGGGAGTGGTACTTCTTTCTGCCCCTTCATGCTCATCTGGTTGGAATACATTTGCAGCTTTGAAATCAAAGCTGCAAATGTATTCCAACATCCATCAGTTATGACAAACTACTGTGCGTCGTGTGGTCAGGATCCCAGATGAGCGAAAGCCAAACATTGGACAGCGTCCGATACTCGATCCAAAGAACTCCTAGATCCAAAGAGCTGGCCGCTCTGCAGCCTTCGGCGGACGACACCTACCTTGGGTCTGACATCCCGTGCGGCTGTGGTAGTGGTGGAGGATGCAGGGCGGCTGCTGGAGGTGGTGGGGGGGCGCTTTGGACCGGCGGCGGCCGTGGGCGGTGCCCTGGCTGCGGTAGTTTTTTTGTCTGAGACGGAGGTGGTGGTAGAGGAGGATGCGGGACGCCTAGTCGGCGCTGGGCCCGGGCCCCCTGGAGCCGCGGTGCCCAGGCGCGTTTTAGCCGCAGCAGCAACGCTGAGTTTGGGGGCCCCGGCAGCTGGCTGCGACGCAGGGCCGAGACATACACGAGGGACGGGGGCAAAATGAGGAGGGAAGGGAGAGCAAACAATAAGGCAGATGGATAATACTAAGCAGCAAAAGCAGCATTAACATAAAAATCATAATACGCATGTATGAAAAGCCTCTGAACGAGGGGACGTTATACACATAATACACAAAGCAGAAGCAGCAGAAGCAGAGGCAGCATGTGTGTTTGTTTTTCTACAATTTAAAACCTTCAAGCCCTCAGAATCAGTGCAGAACAAACCAAATCCTTTCAGCTACATCGATCAATGGAATATCATTTTCCTTCAGTTTGAGTGTCTTTGCAGTTGTTTGCTACCACTTGTAGCCAATTGTGTTGTTTTTTGTCTCTTCAGGTCTTTAGTCTCTTTGTAGTCTTTTGTCTTATTGCTTGCTTGGGTGTCTTGCATGTGTCTTTTTACTCATTTTGATGCTCTTGTTGTAGCGCCGTGTAGTAACATTAGGTGGGTGGCTACGGGGCCACGTTGGGCCCTTGGCCTTGAGCTCAGTAATCCATCCATGACCTGGAGATCACACCCGGTTGTCCCTCACAGTCTCTAAACATTCTACTTAAAAATAAAACCCTATTGATTCATGTACATGGTTTTCGGGACTGAAATAGTCTCACCTCACCTCACGGCACACAGGTGTCAGGTGTCAGGTTGGTGTTACACTAATTACATGGTATTGGATGCTTTTGGAGGAGGAACATACCTTTGTCCTCCTGTCTGCAGCTGCCGGCTCCCTGCTCAGCGGGGTGCTGCTCCCGTTGGTTGCAAGTTTGGCTTTTTTGGCCTTGTCTCCTCCGTCCGCTCTGGCAGTCTTGTCCTTCTTGTCATCCTTTTTCTCCACGATCTTCTTGCTGGCCGGCACTTTGTCCTGCTTCTCCTCCTTCTCGGCCTGCTGCAGCAGTTTCTCCACCTCGTCCTCTTTCTCCGTCCCCTTGGCCAGGTCTGCGTCCACCTTCTCCTTCTTGAGGTCTTCTGCTCCTGGCGTTGCCCGTGTCTCTGTGTCGGCCTTGTTCTCCGGCCGGTCAGATGCGGTATCTGGCTGGACGGGTGTCGCCTGTTGCGCCGGCGTCTTCTGCGCTTTGTCCGCGTGCTGCTCAGTGCCGTCCTTCACCTCTCTCGTCTCAAGCTTCTCGGTGTTCTCAGTTTTGTGCGTGGTGGACTTTTCACTTTGGTCCACTCTTCCCACGTCCTGGGTTTTCTCCACTGTGCTTTCGACTTCAGTCTTCTCCACCTTGACTACTTTCTCTGTCTTCTCCAACTTTCCTTGTGATTCTTCTACCTTGTTCATCTTGTCCTCCTCTTCAGCCTTTAGCTGAATCAACTCCACTTTCTCTTTCTCCTTTTCCGTCTCATTCTTTTCTTCCACCTTCTCTGTCACCTTTACTTTGTCAGTCTCTTTCTCCTCTTTAACTTTCCCTGCATCCTTCATCTCCTTCTCCTTCTGTGTCTCTGTCTGCTTCTCCTTCTGTGTCTCTGTCTGCTTCTCCTTCTGTGTCTCTGTCTGCTTCTCCTTCTGTGTCTCTGTCTCCTTCTGTGTCTCTGTCTGCTCCTCCTTCTTTATCTCTTTCTCCACCTTGGCCGGGGTCTCCGTGACTTCGTATACCACCGTCACACTCTTCTGCTCGGCTCTGTCAAACAGAGGGTCGAACGGGTCCACGTTCTTTATGTTGTCCTGCGGCTTTTCCTCCTTCTCCGCTTTTTCCATCGTGTCAGATTTTACTGGAAAGACAATTGATTTGAATTAGAAATGAGGACAATATGTCCCATGAATAAAAGGCTTCTTTTCCAATGAAACAAAAGCACAGTTGTTGGTAGCAGTTCATACGACATTAAAAAACCTGTAGAGGATTTTCAGATAAATTAATCACAAGTGCATTCAACTCATCACACACATACTTCTGCCAATGTCTGCCCTCTTGAAAGCGACACGCGTCTGTTCAACAATAAAAGAACAATACCGTCCTCGAAAAAAGCTTTTTTCCTTTGTGGTAAAGCCAGGTTCCTGCAGCATGCTCCTAATTACACTCTCTGCTCAGCTCAACGTTTTGTGGTCTTCACAGATCGATTGTCTGTTTATACACTATTGTGTGTTTTACCCCCAAAAGTTTTGTCCTGAGAAAATAATTGCATATATACGTTGGACGTGAAGTCGCGGAGGAAAGGCCCTGACATTCACTTTATTTGTTTCCACAGAACCCCTGAAGCTGGTTTCCTGGACTCCAGCACGGTTCACCTCAGCAAGATTCAGAAGGTCACAAGGCAGCACATGTGCACCGCCGTTACTGTGGTTACGCTTCACTCACATCAACATCCTTTCAGGTTACTTGACAGCAGAATTGTCAACTGTTGGCTACCTAATCCAACTACACAAAGAGGAAAGGCGGCTGGAGCAGATGGAGAATGAGAGTGGGTCTTCTCATTACGACATAACGGTACACACAGACGGCCTGCTTAGTGTCCACCTACCAAATGTTTAGTCTTACTTGGACAGACTTTGGCTTCCATGTGCAGAGAATGATTTGTCTCAGCAGTACCAATGATTGCACCGCTGCTCGAATGAGAACCTGTCGTCCATTTGACTCCTTCTGGGGTTCTTTGGATCCGAACAGGCATCAACCATATCACGTGAAGTACTGTGCAATATAAAGTTAAAAGAAGATAGTTATCTGTTGCTGACTCACAGAATAAAGTTCAGACCTACTGACTCCAGCTGTGTTCCAGTTTAGAAAAATACATAAATACAACACAATAGTTTAAACGAGCAGTGTATGCTGTGTGTCCTTCCCCATCCACACGCCATTGTGCGACTGACTCATTGATGCTAGATGTATAATGTGCTATTTTTGTATTCTAAGATGAGGGACAAAACGGCTATTTCTGTACCTGCACACGGTTTGAGGAAGCTTGTGACACCTGACAGTCCACACTGACTCATTTTAACGTTGCAGACGTGACTTAAGTTCTTAGCTCACATATTTAAAGCTCTTTTACTTAGCCAAATTGAAACGTTTTGTTGCAAGTTTTTTTTTGTCATTTTAATTAAACAGCTGAAAACTGCCACCTAAACTTTTGTGAGAATTCTTTTTTTCTCAAAGAGCATTTTAGTTTTGCGTCATTTTGTATGAACGCTGCTGCTGCTCCAACCACAGAATGTGTGGAAAAGCGGCCGAACAAGCCACATTCTTTGGTTTCGGCACGCACTTTGTTTCCTTAACGTCGTGCTGCGGCTTCATCCTCGTGACTCGGGATTCTCTTCCACGCTTTGATCCCGTCTGTACCCACCAGCACAAGGGCCGAATCACAGAGAGCCCCCCTGAGCCAGGGCAGTGGTAGTTTACTGCTGTCCATTAATGTCAGCACTTCATTATTACATCCCGCCGGATATTTGAGTGAATTTGTGGAAATGAGCTTAGGAATTCTTAAATTATGGCCAAAAGTGTGACCTTTGACCACAACATTTTGATCTATTCAAATTTGAGTGCAATTCCTCATAGGAGGTCACATTTACGAGTGAACAACCTGAAAAAATGCCGCCTCCCACAGCGCCCCCCACCCTGCGGCGAGAGGGAAAACATTGAAATTTGTGCGACGCGTTCATCGTCACATCAACCTGTTGCCTAGTCTTAAAGTGACCGCAGATTTTTCTCACCTGTGACAGCGCAGAAAAGAAATAACATTACAAATCTAAATGGGGTCGTCACTCATGTTCACCTCTTTGAATGGCCTCATGTGTCCTGTTGTGGTTGTATTTGCTAAACTTATCGGGGAAATCACGTCTGAGGACTTTGAATTAGGAAGAGGCGGATAGAAGGCGGATCGAAGGCGGACCGAAGGCGGACCGAAGGCCTTTGATTCTGATGCTTGAGTCGGCGTGGGAGACACTGATTGGCCGATGAGCAGGTGAGTAGGTGGACAGAAAGAGAGCAGGAAGTAAGTAGTACATAGACGCAACACTAAGGCCGTAAAAAAATAAACGGCTCTTTTTTTATGGTATGTTTTATAGCTCCTCAGAAAGTTGGTAAAAATGTATTGTTTTCAAATGATCTTTGAAAATAATAAAGTGAAAGAGATAAGCAGCGAAGAGGACCAGGAAAATGGAATCGGGGCGTAAACCTTGAGCAGAATGAAAGGACATTGTTTGATTAGATAACGTGGAGCGACCAGAAACCTGGAACGGTAACACACATGAGACCAAACAGAGTGAACACTGAAAGGTGAAAACAAAACTGACCTAAATTAAGTGGGACAGTGGTGTGACAAGACAATAGGAAACGGAACAAGAGAAATCGCAGCAAACCAAATAAAGAAAAAAAGGGCTTTTTCTTTAATGTAAACAATGAGAGGCTCCGGAGATTTCTAATTACTGCACAGATGTGATGTGTGCCAGAGGTGTTCATGACTTCATCTCACCAAACAGCAGACTGTATGCAACTAGTGGACGTTACAATCAGACTTCTTGTTGCCAGCAGAGGCCTGATAGCCATTAGAAAGAATGCAGGTTTGAAACACTTCAGCACTGTGGCTTTTCTGTCTCTTACTACCGTTTACCATGTGTTTTCCCAGATGAAAAAAAATATGAAGCAATCTAAAAATCCTGCAAACCTCTTTTTTTCCTAGAGTCCTAAGCACAGTTAATCACGTTCTTCCTCATTTTACTATACTACTATTCTGCAAATTCTAGCAAACAGACGTGAAGAAGACAGCCCTAAAACCCAGGAGGAATGTGATCTCAGATATATATGTGTTTGGGCTATCAGTCAAGTCAAGCCAGCACAGGGAACAAATAAAACAGCAATCCCTCACCTCCCTTCATTATCGACGAGGCTTCTGATTGGAAGCATCAATCACATGTGTACATGCTGGTACAGAGGAGGTCAACAATGATGTCATGACGATTTATATCTTCCATCCACTGATTAAGGGCCTTTGTGTTTGGACCTGAACGAACCTTCACACCACCGTTTGATCTGTTCGTCAACCTGCTGCATTACCAGAGCTGATGAGGCTCAATATGCCTCATTTAATATGAGAAAGCCTTTAATTACCGGGTTCATTAGCATAATAAAAACACCTATCGCTCATTTAGGTTTAGTCGAGTTAAGCCTCGACTCCCCTGAAGAGCACCACCTCTTTATTTCATTCTTTCTTTCTTGAGGTCAAATATGCAGATACTACTCCATAAAAACCCAAAATGATCTTAAAACTGCCTCATAGTTTTTAAACATAATTTTCATTCCATATGCATATGCTTCAGAATGCGTTTGGCTCATTGTTGGAAAATCTGTTCATGAGCTTGTTTCCCTCACCGATGAAGCGACTTAAGTGTAAAGCATTTCATAAGGCTAATCATGTTTAAAGCCAACAAGCAGAGGTTAAAACGGATTTCTCATCCTTCATCAGGCCTTCATTTAGCTCCTCAAGTAGATTAGGGATATAATCCTGCCGCTCTCTGGCTGAGTGGGCTTTGTCAGCTCTGACGGCAGCCCTCCATGTGAAGGGAAAGCTCCACTCCGTCGCTTCCCTTCAACAGCACACCCAACAAGGTGCACGCTGTGAAGTGGCTGTGAAGTGGTGACAGAGTGGAGTGTGTTGATCTCAAGTGTCGGTTTGGTCCTCTCATAAAGACTCGCTGGCAGCTTGGTTACTCTAGGAGTGGCAGCAGTCTCTAAACTTAAAGACAGACTGGTAAACGTTTGATTCTTTTGAGGGATGTGTGTGTTTCTGAGCGGTGGGGGATGCGCGTGCTGATGTGAGGGCCCTGGGACTGAGGACTTTGCTTTGTGTACAGATTGTTTGCCACATTACAGAAATAGAATTGAATAGAATCCTGAATGGATTTAGTGAACATTATCTAGAATCAGGTGGATTATAGCAAACAGCACTCATTCCAGAAGTGTGTATATACAGAACATTGGATTCTTTTTCCTGACAAAGCTCAATGTGAAAAGGTTGAGTGAAGGCGTCATCGGCCTTCACTCAACGGCCTCAAAAAAGGACATTTTGAGACCTAAATAATTTCATAATCCCTCTCTCCTCTTTCTTTTGTTGTTTGTTTCTTCAAATGATCAATCCATTGATTATTTACTGCTCCCTCGTCTGTCCAAGCGTGAGTCACTCCAAACCCTTACTTCCTGTTTTCCATCATAATACATTAATCCACCCACCCGTTTTCTTTGTATCTGTCACGGTGTGGTTTTATTTCCTGTCTTATTTTGTAGTTTTCTGCTTCTTGTCTCCCTGGGTGACTTCACTTCCTGCCTTGTCCTGTCATCATCTGTGATTGTCTGATTGTTTCCACCTGTGTCCAATCACCTGCACCCCCCTAGTGTATTTAAGCCATGTGTGTCTCCTGTCACTTGTCGCGTCGTTGTCCTTTGTCACGGATGTCCCTGTCTACCATCTGGATGTTCCTCGTTCCTGCCTGCCTTTTTCCCCCCCCGGTTCGTTTGTGTGTGTGTGTGTTTTTGCCCGTTGGCCTTTTACTTTGTTGGAGTTTTTGACTTTTGCGTTAAAGTCTGCGTTTGAGTCCTGCCTTCCTACCCAACCCTGACAGTATCCCTTTTTTTTATCTCATTGAATATTTTTTCTTTACTCAAACCTTTTCCCACAACCTCTCTAGATAGATGAAGCAAAGACAAAGCGTTGGCTTATTGCACATGCACAGCTGTTTGGACACTAAAGCTTGTGCTTCTGCTTTATCCAGAGTGGATAAAGGAGGT